TTTATCTATTGAGTAGAAATTCATTTTGCAAGGGTATTTTTTTCATTTCACATAAAGCAAAAGCATTGATCATTGTTGACTACTGTATAAAATCTCAAAAACAAGATTCGGTGGGTTACGTATATTCCCAGTTCATTCGCTTGCTTACATCAAAAGATATTTGATTTGATTGGATTGACTTAACTATTTTGGAATCATTTCATTTTTTTTTTTTTATTTTCCACATACTCCAATTGGGTAATGTAATTCATAAATGTATTAGTGTTACACATGATTAGAAATGAGATGCAAGATTTAGAAAATAAAAAACAACTTGTTCTATGGGAATTATTTAATTTCTTTTAATATTTTTTTTTTTTACATTGGCCAACTTGTAACAATCTAATACCTTTAAATTTTAACAATGCAAAATAAAAGAAGATTAGTGTACAAGCAAAGTGAACTAACATATACAATACTATCTCATTAGCATTAAATTAACCATGTTTGATAAGTACAAAAACAACTAGCAATTAAACAAATTTACGTTTTTAACTAAAATTTAAAATTTAAATCAATTGATTAAATTATTTTTAAGATAATGTATGCAAATTTAATTCTGGTGTGTTATAAGTGTAATTAGGCAATTATTTCAACTTGATTTTTTCTGCAGTTTTTGTAACATGTAAACATTAATTACTTATTTTCCCATGTTTGGCCAAACACTGAAATTTAAATCATGATGTGCATACTTCTCAAAAAATTTAAAAAAAAAAATCATGTGCTTACTTTTCCAATGATTAAGCAGACTTTTGTAATATGTTGGGTAAAATGTATGCGTTGATTAGGGCACTGAAAATGGGTTTTGCATGATTTCATGAATTATCTTTTTGAATGTTTAGCAGAATAATTTTAAAATGATTATATTCAAGGGCCAAAGAAATGTTAAATTAAGCATGGAAAGGGATTGATGGGATGAATAATGAATTGTTTAATAGATTTGTTTGTTTGTACATAAAAGATTAAAAGAAAAAGAAAGGGAAGAACTTTTGTTTTCATAGTCTAGCCATCAGAATATATTTCTGTAGTAGCTTTTATGTTGAAATTCAGCTTTATGTTATTTAGATCTTCACTGTATAGAAATGCCAATGCCTTTGGAATCATATATAATTATAAAATTAAACTTGAGATGCCAAGGTCCTTAAGTTTTTTTGTTGGGAGAGTTACTTTGAAATGGAACAATCAATCTCAGCGGTCTGGCCCTCGCAGATGTAGATGAAAGAGACTAGCTAGTTTATTGATCCTGAAGGGCAAATATCAATGCCATGGAAGTAAATTGATGGCCATAGAAGTAAATCAAGAATGATATTGGTGGAATCTAACCTGGCGCGAGCTTAATTGTAGCAGTTACTGAGGCAGAAGTATACCAGACAACAGTTTGATATAAGATCTATAGTTTCCATTACTACATTTACAGTAACACCGGCCAAGACCTCCATGGTCCATACTGCCTTGGCAGGCTGATGATCATGAATGATGAACTTGTCAATGAATCCATCATGATCTACTAATTCTAGATTATGGAGTTATTAATCGAGGGAAAAGTGACATTAATGATTGATCTAAACAAGAGAAACAAGAAAGCGAAGCAGACAAAAGAACAGAAACTAAAAGGGTTTAAAAAAGCTATCCAATTAAGGATAATGTTATCTGTATAATAATTCTAAATAGTATCCATGAATCATGATTTCGTTTCATCCAAGAAACCAAGAATGATTTTGAAAAACCTTTCAACCCCAACCGACAAGAAGAACAAACGCATGAAAAGTTTGAAAATTTTCTGGCAATTTGAAAGTGACTGAAAGCTATGTCACTGCAGGCACCTAATTAAAAGTTTAAGAGTTTAGCTTTAATGAATTTCACTCACTCTCATCTGAGCCTTATGTTGTTGAACGAGGAGAGCAACCTTCGGAATGGTTTGAATGGAACTTGATAATAAGATGTATGAACCGAATAAAGTATGTGTTTGTTAGCTGCAAACTAATTAATTGAGAACATGTTATCCAATGTCGCTTTCATTGAAGAAGAAGAAGAGTTTATGTCAAAGAGATCCATTTTTATAAAGAGATAGAAAATTTAAATTAATTAATAAAAAGATTGGTTCGATCTTTTCAATATAAATAATTTTTTAATTCAAATTTTATGAGTAATTTCTTGTTGACATTATTTTTAAATGTTACCACATTATCTTTGCCTTTTGGTCTAATGATTAAAAAATTTTAAAAAATAAATTAGAATTTGGTTCGAATCAAATCACTTTTTTTTTTTTTTTTTAATGTAATAGGATGTTGTTTTCTTTTAATTTATGTTAGTCAAATAATTTATGTTTACTTTCTTAATTTTTTTAAAAAAGTAAAAATTTTTAATTTAATCACTGTTAATATAGTTTTTTTATTTCATAAATGAGATTAATCAGATAGTATATATCTTAAGATATATATAAAACATACAAAAGTTAATTAAAAATAAAATATATTTCAATCTTTTAATTTTATTTGTAAAATTAAAAAATTATAAAAATGGTAACTCAAAAAACCTAAATTAATTTTGAGGTGAAGTTTGGAAGGAATAGGAAAATTCCGTAGACCGCCACTACTTCAAATCAAAACCCAGAAACAAAAAGGGTTTCCACGTGTCTAGTTCTAACTGATCCACGTATATAATCTCAAAACCACAACATTTAAATTGTTTCTGGTTGCCTGCTTCACTCCAATTTCTCTTCTTCCTCGAACCCCCGCATTGTTAACCTATGCGGCTATGCCCTCCACCCCTGGCGCACGTTAGCAGACGCCCTTCGGTTCGCTTCCTCTTCGCCATTTTCATGGCTTCTCTATCTTCACCATTTACCAAACCAACCTCTGTACAAACGGGTTGGATTCGGGTCCTGAAGGGAAGGTCACAGCCATTAAAAAACGTTCCCGTGGTCTATTGGATGTTTAGAGATCAACGGATGAAAGAAAACTGGGCTTTAATCCAAGCCGTTGATCAAGCCAACAAGGCGAATGTGCCTGTGGCGATAGCTTTCAATCTTTTTGATCAATTCTTGGGGGGCTAAAGCAAGGCAACTAGGGTTCATGTTAAAGGGTTTACATAAATTACAAAGAAGTACAGCAGATAGGTTTCAGATGCCATTCTTCTTGTTTCAATTAAGGGTTTTTGTCGTTGGATTTTGCAATTATGGTCTAATTTAGAAGAAAGTGTTAAAAAAAGAATTCCTTTCTGTTTGAATTATGGGTTTTTTTACCAATTTGTTCTGAATGTCAAGTAGAAGGTGAAATTTGTTTACTTATTTTAGTTAAATTATGCAAGCTAGCTTAGTTGTGTATGATTGTTCATGCGATCAAAGTATGAAAAAATTGTCTAAAATTTATTAGCATTGTTCTTGCTTAATGAGAATAGAAGGCTGTGAAATTAAATGATTTTTCCACTTGGTACCAACACTTAGCTATTTCCGTGTGTTTAATTTTTAGGGAGAAGCTTGGAGAATGTGGAGCTTCACTTTTAGTTACAGATTTCCGGCCGTTAAGGCAGACTGGAAAATGTAAAGATAAAACTTGTAAGAGGGAAAGTGACTCAGTGACCATACATGAGGTTGATGCCTACAATATAGTTATTTTTGGGTTGCATCAGGTAAGTTGGAGTATAGTACTAGGACAATAAGGGGTAAAATAAATTAAGTGCTTCTTGAGTACTTAATTGACTTTCCAATGCTGCAACCAGCCAACAAGAAATGGGATGCTTACTTGAGTTATATATGCTTTTACTTTTTTCTTGGGTTTCTGACTAAAGTAAGCTTTCCTGGATTCATGTAGTTCATATTCTATAACTTTGTCGGTAATAATCCTCTTGATGAGGAGTTTGAAAATCATGTGCAAGTATGTACTGGGCTAAAATGATTCTTGAGTGGACGAAGGGACCTAAAGATGCCATTGAATATGCATATATCTAAATGACAAGGTAAGTTTAACCAATGCTACCTTTGTTTCTTCCATGATGTTAGTGCAAAATTGTCATCTTTTTTCTTTACGTGAAACTCTTCATTGCAGTATGAAATAGATGGGAGGGATCCAAATGGCTACGTTGGTTGCATGTGGTCAATTTGTGGCGTGCATGACCAGGTTTGTCTTCATTGTTTTTCTTATGGCCTATCATTGATTTGACTATTATTTTTATAGGTAATGCGCCTTTGATCGCCTTTGATTCGGAAATTGCTCCACGACAATGCCTCTTGTGATAAAATGTCAAACCAATGGCCTTCTACAAACAAAACTAATATTGGAAACTAAATGGAATTAGGAATTAGAGACGCATGGTTTCTTACTATGGAAATTATTTCTCATGCCATCTACTTTTCATTGGCATTTCAGGGATGGCGAGAGAGACGTACATTTGGGGAAATACGGAATATGATCTATGCTGGATGAAGAGGAAATTCGATATTGATGGATACATTGTACGTTAAAGGGCTAGTGGGTGAGATTAAGAAGAGAAAAGCAGAAAGCCAGCTCGGTTAAAAGACGAAACAGCCACGCAGTTTGATATCTTCTCTGTTGAACCCCTTGGGAAATTTGGTTCCATGTTTCCTACTCGGAGGAATGTTCATCCTGGAAAGAGTCTGATAATCCCAGGCTGACATAGGTTTTTAATTATAATTAGAATTTATACCTATCTGCAACAAACCGTTGTATTTGAGGAGCTGCCGTCCTAAGTTTTTCATAAGCAGATTGGTATTAGGCTTCAGTATGTTTAAATTTCAAAGTTCAGTGCGTCATTTCCCCTATCAATTACATTAATATTAAACACTTGAGTTTCTTGGTCGCTTCCGGCACATCAATTACAATGCAAAACCAGAAAGAGTCAGGTAAAAATGTGTCACTAATGACGAAGCTAGACAGCCACAGACGCTGAAATCAAGAGGCAAGACATTTTCCATTGAATGTTAAAAAATGGGTATGATGAAATGGCACACATCTATGATTACAAATCAGGATGGAGCAAAAAGCACATTCCAAGCTTCCTACTCCAACTAGGTTTATATCTGCAGATCATCCAAAGAGAGTTCATTTGCTGTCAGCAGCTTCAGTTTCTGCAGATCATGGCAATACAAAGTTAGTGGTCGAAGAATTATACCAGGCAGAATGAGAAAATTGTTGGTGATGGAAATTCAATACCGTGATAAACTGTGGAGGATCGTCAAGACTTGTTGAGCCTAAAACAACTTCCCGGTTCAACTTTCCTGTAAGCTTGTGACAGGCTCTTAGCTGTATATGAAGGACATTTTAGAGGACAAAGTATTAGAAAAGTCCATTATCATAACCTCATGGTCTTGGATACATGGATAATAAAGTTTTCATACCTCAGATCTTGTAGCTCCACCTACGATAAACACAAAAATGCGTTTGCCCATCTTCTTGAAATCACTTGATGCATGTCTTAGTACTGAATCACTGAGATGAGGTGGGGAAACAAACATTAAAAAGAAATTCACAGACATAGCATTAAAGATAAGAAAGCACAAGGATGATACATGCCTTTCCTGAGTGGCATTTACAGATTAAAACAGTCAACGTCACAGTTGATTGATACAGCAGTGAAAAAAAAAAAAAAAAAAAGAATGACTATACATATGGTCAGGACCTTGAATACCCATCGTCTGAGTCCCGAGGCCGAGCCCATGTTGGTTTCCTCCTTGATCTCATGGAATGAGCAACTGGAGCTTCATGAATAGATGCAGCTTGTGATGTGCCATGGAAAGTTGGACTAGGATCATTCATGCACGGATAATCATCCTTTGATAGTTCTCCATTGCTAAGTTTTTCAACAAGCTCCTGAAAATGGAAAACAATTCACAGGCGTTAGTAAACCATTCTGTCATGAACTCTTGCAAAGTTGTAACACTATCTTTTTACTCTTTTGCATAAGTTGTTGAACAATGTAGAAGTCAATTATATAACAAGACAATAGCAATAACAATCTCTTGTTGAAGCATAGTTATTACCAATGAATAACTGCTTAAAGATTTCAGAACGCATGAAAAACAACAAACCTCTTTAGGTAAAAAACTTGGAACTAAAACTTAATTGAGTTGAGTTGAGTCAAGATATATTAGTTGATTAGATAATATTTTGGAGGTTTGGACATAGAATAAAACTAAATAAAATGAAGAAGCAAACAGCAGAAAGAAGATTAGATCTTTCTCATAAACAAAAGCCGGCATACATAGAAAATGATAGTTTTCCTACCACTGCCTCCAACACATGAACTTCTCCAAAAATACAGAGAATACATCATTATATAATCAAAACAAGTTATAAGTTATACTAAAGTGCCTATCAATCATTACATGATCTAAACAAGTTATAAGTTATTATAAAGTGCCTATAAAAAAAAAGTTATCCTAGAGTGCAGAGATTATGCTAGTCATAAATGTAACACAAAATGATCCTTGAAGAGAAAACCTAAGTCTAAACATACCTCTATTATAGGGTAAAAGCGTGATAATTGCCATGTTTCTTGCTCATCACTGCGCTCTTTCCTAGTTGCATGCTTCTTCTGGCAATTCAGGAGCAAAGGAGTAGAGAAAGAAGAAAACGAACCCATATTATTAGCCAAAAGCAACACCAGATCAACCACCATAAGCAAAGTCTGAACTAGCAAAACATTTACCTTATGTATATCAAACTTCAAAGAAAAAGCACCTGCTGAACTTTTTTTGCTATCTGATGGTGGCACAAGCAATCTCATATTATTCACAGCATTCATATCGTCAGGTGGTAATTTTGCTAACTGAGCAAAATTTTAAGCATCAGGTTGGAGAGAAATAATTAGCAATCTGTAAACAGCTTAACCTCAAAACCCAAAAGGAAAAGGATAGTGTGGTAATCCTATGGGAGTAGGAAGGGGAAGGAGGTAAGGGTGGGGATGAAACAGAAAGAAGGAGAATATAGAAAATGTAGCAACCTTCATCAAATTAAGACCTTTTTCACCATCAAACTTCTCAGGGTAAATGGCAGCAAGAATCATCAACAACCGCAACTTATTTTCATGAGATAACTCCTGCAAAAAAGTGGTATTTCTAGTTTTTAGAAATATTGACAAAGTAGAATGCATCCATTTATACTAGTAAAAGTTCTTACCTCTTTTGTGGTAAAAAATTTAATTACATCTTTCATTCCTGCATCACCAAAAACAAGGTCTTGCTCCAATTGCCCAAGTTCTTTAAGCCCTTGATCCCTGATAATTCGGTTGATTTTTCCAGCAATCTGCAATTACAAAACCGAATCTGCATGAAGCCATGATGAAGCCATGAATCATACAAGATATCTTTGATAATCAGGTACATTTTCTTTCAGTTACAAAATATCATTATTCATACATCTAAAATTGGTTAGGAAACACATGAAACTTGAAACATTAACATCCATCTTTTTAAGGCAAATTTGGCTACTCTTACGCATTAATAGAAGGTATAACTTACAACTTTAGTGTCTAATGCATCACAAAAAGAGATAGCATTATCCTGGTAACACATGCAGAGCTTGAACAGAAAAAATGAAGATTCTCATGAATCATCCAAATATTTAAAATGTTTGATGCACTTACCAGGCTTTAATGAAAATTGGGATATAGAATGAGGAAATATGACAAAGAATGAGGGTAATGGCAATAATCATGCTACAAAGCTAAACATTAGTATCAAAAAGCAGTATCTAGAAATTCAATGCAAGTATGACAAAGAATCTGATCATTAAAAGGAATAAAGGCAGGTACCATAGCTTCTTCTCCTTACAACAAGGGGTGGAGAACAGAAATCTGGGGCAAAGAATTCCATGCTTTCGCATAGACAAGAAACTAACCTCTACATGAAGGGAGAGCTTGTCAATTTGTTCACTGTATTGTGGCAATGCTTGAACCATTTTTTGCAACTCCCTTGTTGAAAGTTCACCACCATCTCTATAAATAAGTTGACTTTTAAGGTGAGAGAAGAGGCGTGACATAGCTAAAAATTCCAAATAAATTCACTATGTACAAAATGCTACAGCTTCACCAATATTTAAAATATTTAACACAATCTTTCAGCAGTTGCATTTCAGTATTAGTAATTCATTCTAACATCTTGGCATATGACCATGACCAGGTAGATAAATGATAGAGCAGACAACTAAGAACTTCCATAATCAAATAATGAATCTTAGAACAATATAATAAAGATTCAAAATCAGTTGAAACAATTTTCTATAAAATGGATTAAATGATGAATAACTATTACACTATTGCAACAATGATGAAACAATCAGAAGGTGCCAGGTGAGGAGACAGCATATTCCCAAGAACTTTCATGCATATCATGAATAAAGTAAAGGTAAAAACAACATTCACACGAACCTTGAACCATGTTGAAGTTGTGCAGCTTTATTCTTTGATACGAAATTGGTCATCTTTTCATGCAACCTTTCACTAGCCTAAGAATACACCCAATTGGTAAATCAGCATTCAACACCCAATGCTATATTGGTCAGACTCAGGAGTATTGGACATGGGAATGGGTCATACACGGATGTGGTTCAATTTTGTTAAAGTTTTTCCTTACACACGGCAGTCAAGACCACATATCCATGTCCACTTTGACATGTCTGATACTTGAGGTAAATAAAGAGTCAGATCAATATAGGTTGTCTATAAAACATAAAAAAGCACCATACGTACATCTGCTATATGTGCATGGCGAAGCTCAAGCCATATTGGATCATGCTCTTCCAAAAGAACCTCCTTTTTCTCAGGAGGGCCTCCTGCTTTGCTTGGAACCTAAACAGAACACTTGCTTGGTATACAGAAACCAAAACAAAAATCCCAGAGTATTCAAGAACACACAGAATCTAATGACAGAATATACCTCATGCACATATTTATTCCCCTCCATATTCAGTAAATCATGGCACATGGCATCATAAGTCCACTCATGTATGACAGGAGCAATCTAGACACGTAAATTAACCATTTATCATAACCAAATTGGACAAGTATGCAATGCAGATATCATTAGGTTGAAAACAATATTAACATGCAAACCTGATCTATAGATCTATCAAGGATGAGCAACTCGCATGTTTCCTTCTGAGGGAAGTTAGGAATTGATTTACATTTCACAAGACAATTCCAGATTCCAGCTGCAAGCTTGGTGGGAATTAGATCACGGAAAGTAGTCATGGTTGTTGGGTCAAGAGACTTGGCAGCCCGGTAGCGCACAAAAGGAAACTCCTGACATATAAACACATCTCAGCAAATTTTCAATACATTTGAAAATCAAGATCCAAAAACCATTGCATATACCCTTAGTGAAGCAAAAACTGTAGCAATACGGGTAGCCATCACATTCAAACATGCATCACCTTTGCGAGTACTTTCCTCATCACCAAAAAGGTCTTCTAGAGCCTTCCCGTTATCAGTGATGAAACCCTGGGGTGAAGAAAATCATGGTTAACATGATAACAATGCTGATAGGCCATTACTTAAAAAAAAAAAAAAAGACTAATCAGACAAAGGTTGATCATTTCAGCTCAAAAGATAGTGATAAAGATACATATAAGCTTCAAAATATGCCATAACAAATGTAGCTTAAAACTCGATGTTAAAAGTCTTTCCAAACCATCTTCTTCCCAAGATAGGACATGTTAATGCTTATATAAAAATATATAAATATACTACTTATTCTTCACCAAAAGTTCTTGAAGCTTAAACCACCAAGGCTTTTATAAGACTCATTTTTCACAAAATTTGCAACTTAGATTTTAACCTTGATGTTTTTAGATGCAAGTTCCAAGAAAATCTAAATGAACTGATCCTCTATATATGTTTCTTTATTAAAAAAAAAAAGAGATTTTAATTCTGACAATCAGTGTTATTTGTATAGTATTCAACCAAGTGACCAAATCATATACCTGGCTGTCTATTGCAAAATACTCCAAGTTCATCTGCATATGCCATCCCAAAAAAAATAATTCAGCATCTACTGACAGCTCAATAATCAATAGGAAAATAAAACAGCAAACAATATGACTAGTTTGCACAACGCAGATTGCTTCAAAAACAATGACCAATCTAAATGACAAAAAGCTAACCTCACTCAATGCACCTATGCGAGGCAAGACAGTTGAATCCTTCTTGATGTGAGCTACCAATTCTCTTGAAATAGGTGAACTGAAGTAAACAAATGCCCTTTTCCACAAATCAAATAAAAGAAAAAATATATCAGAAGTTGTAATATCATCAGAACTTAGAAGATCTAACCACACATATAAGAACATAAACTAAGTAAAAGTCTTTCACATACTTCTTATATAAGGGTGTCCTTCCAGCCATGTTTGTCAAGAACATACTAACACTGCAAAAGTAAATAAGTGAAGCAATAAAGGGAGAGAGAAAAAGCCACAAGAGAAATAGGATTATGTTACATTATGGCATATAAGTCTCACATAGATGATTCTTTTGAAACTGATTAAAGGAACTACATCTTGCGCAAAAGACATACATTCATGCATGCATCTTTACTAAAAGGGAAATTTAAATTAGAAAATAGAATAACATAAGGCTTCAGCAAGGTTAACTTCTGATATTGGAAGTAAGATATGAGGTCCTCTAATATATAGGTAGTCAAGTTAAGAATGTAGACATGACAGAAAAATTGACTATTTTTTATGCTCCTGTAAATATAAAATTAAATAAGTGAAACAATGGGGGGAATGGAATAAAAAGCGATCAGCACATAAAACCCAAGACCAAAAGGGAAAATGCCCACCCCAGCTAAAGACTTAATAATTGAAACTCAGAAAAAGGAAGATATATTACTTCTTTTCGGTTGGTTGAATGAAGTATATAGCAATCAATGGCAATGGCTGCCTACGTCTGTTTATGTCTTCTACCACTACACAAGAAAACCAGAATCATTAAACTTACAGGAAAAAAAATTATTGTTCAAAATTTAAGATGATGACGTATCTTGTGCAGCTTATTGCTATTTCAATGTTGACCCTGTTAGACCAATTTTTATGCAACCGTAAACAATACAGAAGATAAAAATGGAGCTTCGCTTACATGAAACTCCTTCCGATGTGATGTCAGCCATCTTGCAAGAGTAAGACATTATCTTAACCGTAACTTTGTCCATGATTAGCACCTGCTTAGAAGAGATTGAAAAACAAGAAAAATAAGAATGGCATTTCTAGCAACCAATAAACAAACCAACAGAACAAAGACAGCCAATAAATGACAAAAAAATCACAACAAGATCAACATACCTTCCAAGTCGATTTTGAATCCTTCATTTTTGCTGAACGAAGCATTTCATATAATAATCCTTCATATACATCAAACATATATGAAACTTTAAATCAGTTCAACCATGCAAAATTAGTCAGCAACAAGATCATGCCTAATGAATACATGAAAATGATAATAAAAAATTAAACATAATCCAAATAATATAATAAAATGGTGTTTTAAAATAAATAACAAAAAATTAAGCGAACAGCAAACACTTGATGAAGCCTAGGCAGAAACTTGTTTGACTCACTAAAAGCACCTTGCCTAGTGGCTGTGACATGCACTTACCGTCCAGCATCTCGCTTGTAACGTGCACATGCAACCTAGATTATACTAGTAAAAAACATCCATAAACTTCTACAAAGTGGAGAAATTGCAACTATTTTAACTTCTTCTTTTTCTTCATTCCTTCTCATTCCTATTATGCATAATTTCATAGTGGAATGTTAACGAAGAAATTCCTATTAGGTATATTCAACCATAGCTTAAACAAAAAGTCTCTCTTCTAGTCATCACAAATATCATTCTTATGATCGTTCTCGGCTACAAACGGGAAAATGTTTATATTGCAGCATATCGCACAGTCATAGCACTAAGTTTTGGTTTTCAGTTAGCATTGTTGAATATCGAGGCCATTCCACGTTCTTTATTCGTGTTTATACATCAAAGTCGAGAAATGTAAAAGAAATACAGTTACGCAGATTAGTTATAGAAAGATCACGATTCTTTGTTTCCCTTTTTTTTTTTTTAAATTTGAAGTAAATTACTTATAAAAATAAGAGATAGCGAGTCTGAAAATGTTAGTTGCAGTATTTAGCCGTTGAGAACATTATCAAATCAACTGAAAATTTTAATTACGAAAATATTCAGTTGAAATTCCATGATTAAGTTCAAACTATTATTACTAACGATTGTCAGACGAGATAGATCATTAGCAAAATTATTAGAAGATATTAATATTAGCTTTAATCTGGATTGAACAAGAAACTTTTAAACAAAGAGAGAATAAAAGACTTACTTTCACGGCTGATTTGCCTGAAATTCTTGTAGTCGCCGGTGCCGGAGGAAGAATCGGAATCCGAAAACGACATCGTTTTCCGATTAACCGATCCAGTAAAAAGGATAACCGGAGAGATGGAGATCGCGGAGTAATCAAAGCAGAAAAGAAAGGAAAAAAAGAGAAAGAGGGAAGGTAATGAAGCTTTTATTTTCCATTTGTTTATCTTAACAATTAAAGTTAATTATTATTATGAAAATTAAAAGAGAAGTTATCAAAACTATAATTATGGAATTTTCTTTTTCTTTTTTGTTTTTTCAATTTCGGATGACGTGTTGACCGTACACGAACGTTGAAACGGCAAAAACTGTAGAGTTCGCGTTTCCGTCTCGGATCCGGAATGGTAATGGATTAGGCCGTGGTCGACGTGGTGGTGAAATTACTTTTACGATCATTATTGCTTGCCTCCGTTGCTGAAATGACTATCACCGTAATTGTAATTTCCTTGCTCTGAAATTTTTTTATGGTTAACATGATAAAAAATTCTTTAGATTTATTTAGATAAATCTCTATATTTTTATTATAATTAAATAAATCATTAATTTTTATTTTACATTTAAATAAATTTTTAAATTTTAATTTACATTCAAATAAATTTTTATTATATTTAACAAACTCTTAATATAAATTAATTTTTGTTTAAAATAAAAGTATATTTTGATATAAATAAAAAATAAATACTCATTTAAGTATAATAAAAATATATGATTTGTTTAAATAAAATGATAAAATTAAAAAAAAATGTATTTTAACCTTTTTTAATTTCTTGTATTTTACGATATTTTTTGTTGAAAAAGGTTTTTTATACTAAAAAAATAAAGGAAATTTACTTATTTAAGAATAGCGTTGGTTAAGCGTAACGAATGTCTATTTGATCGAGACAAGTGATATATTCAACTAAAACAAATGACATACAAATGATATCTAGTTTAATCCGTGAACCCCCCTATCCCTTGACTGAATGTATTCATACCCCCAAAAACTCAAAAGAAATCTTGTTCGCCCATTTATCACATATAAACTAGAATCAAAATATTACAACGTGCAAAACTAATCAAATGAAATTTAATTTAGAACTCAACCTAATTAAATTTAAACACTAAGGAGATGGGGTTAAACTCTTGCCAGTTAAACTGCTGTCCGGATTGTTGTAATACCTGCATATAACCTTGCACTTGACCACATTGCCATAGACATAGAACCCTGGTGTGATCATGATCCGAACCATGCTTGGAACCAAATTTCTGGTTCTTTCTCTACCCATATCCTCCATGTAGAATGAATCAAACCTCACCCCATTATCCACCCTGAAGATTGGCAAGCCAGGATGCACCGAGTTGGCCAAAAGGTGCACCAACCACACACTCTTTGACGCACCAAAAAAGGCTTGCAACAATGGCTCAGGCCAAGCTTTGTTATTCCACCCCAACATAGCCACAACTTCACTCATTTTCCTGTCACAAAACTTGCTGAACTCCTCATTGAAATGCCTTGTCCCCTTATTCAGAACCTCCTCCCATTTTAAACCTTGTAAATCATTGAATGACCCGTAATTGGCTTCACAACGATCAATAGGGTTCAATATTTGGTTCACTGCATTCTTTTGAAACCCAATTGATTCAAAATCTTCGAAGAAAGCCTTGTTCAACAAAGCTTCGAGGTAAAGAAGAAGGCTTTTGGGGTTCTTCGAGTAAGAAATCTTCATATCATAAGGCTGTAAAAGCTCAGATATTCTCTCACAAACTTTGCTACCCATGAGCCTTAATTGCATTGTGAGTGATTTACTTAGAATACTGATAGAAGACCTAGCTTCAGAGACAGAGGCCAAGAATTGTTGAACCACTTTTTCATTAGCTTCAATAACTTCATCTTGATTCTTCGCTTGATGAATATCATGACCTTTACCAATTCTATAAGGGGAGTTTCTATTACATTCGTCAAGACCAGACTTCAGATTATGATAGTAAACTTCAAGCTTGTTAAGCTTCTTCTCAACCACAGCCATGGAATCTTTCAATCTTGAAGCTTCCAGCAATGCTTCGTCTCTCTTTCTTGTAGCTTGAATAAGCTTGTGTGAGAGTTCAGCAACAGCAATTTTCCACTGCTCTTCTCTGGCTGTAGACATATCGGTTGATTTCGGACTCTTTCTTGTTAAAGAATGGAAAATGGACTTGAAAATCCTATTAGGACTTGCCATGGAAAAGAAGTGCTTGTTAACTCCATTGTTATCCAAAGGAACCACGGAGATCTTCTCCCTAGAGTGTGGCCTGCACTTGTTACAAGAAACCGAACCATCTCCACCGCCATTTTCCCCAGATTCCTGACGTTTCCTGACATTGTTGGCTTTTCCAATGTTTTTGTCATGGAGGGGTGTTGTGGGGTGCTTTGGCATCACCCCTTTGTTCTTGCTCACACTTGGGGTAGTATCTTCTTGTTCCTCCCTTTCACATTCTTGAATCTGTTAAATAAAGCAAAAGAAACCTTTTCATCAGACAAACCGAGAAAACTTTAGAAATTACCCCAAGAAAAACTATTAACCATTTTATCTATGCTTTCTATCATTTCGTTCCTCGGGAAACAAACGGAAAAAAACAGAAACGTAAAGGAACTTACCGGAGTGAAACGAGGGGATTGGTGAGGTGGAGGAGGGGATTTGGAAGAAGAAGAAGCCATGTCTTTTTGGTTTTGTTATCTCATATTTTGGCCTCTTTTATTTGGTTTTTACACATATCTACGACAGACACGACCTCGTTTTCTTTTATTTTCTACAGGTATTTGATTTTTCGGCCGTGTTGTAATCGTGGTTGTGAATGTATGGACAGTTACCATGCGAGGTCAAAGGAAATGGACGGTGCATTGTTAGAGTTAGATTTTCGTGCATGATTATCCCTCTCCTTGGCCCTCGAGCCATGTCAGAAAACCACTTTTAATGTGATTGGAGAAGTATACCAAAGATTCCAAAAAAGCAAACCATGGATAAAAAACTGTGATTAGATGAATGAAACTGCCAATGGTAATGTCAGATAAAACCTTCACAAATTTAGCCCAATTTTTTAACTGTAAGATATTCTTTGATTCTTGTGAGTATATTTTTTTCGTTAATTAAAAGACAAATATCAAAACAAGTGAACTATAATATGGAAATTCCCAGGGTGCAATTTCTTGTTGAATTCATCTATAAATCGCATTGTTAGCAATGACCAACATGCACCAAAACGATGAAAGGTATTTATGACAGGATTAGATTAGTTTCGATTACAAAATCATAAGATTTTAATGGAATGTATTCAACTAAAAATCCACCTGATCATGAATGAAAAGTAATCAAAGGGGAGAAATTTGATTTTCAAATTTTTAATGAAATAAATGCATTGAGTTTTGAAATCATAGCTGGTTTTATTAGATTCATTTTCTAGACCAAATAATAAAACAACATACCTAATTTCATCATTGCAATATCTATGCTTCTATACATGGGGGGCATTCCAATCTTGGTCGGAACAGTAATTGTAGGAATAAAAAGATCATAAAAAAGGGCACGATGGTTGGTTAAGCTCAATTGAAGTAGTTGGGAGTGGGTGAAGACTGCGATTTGGGATTAAAGATACTACTAGATTTGATTAAAGTTCTAACATTTTAGCTTTTACCACATTTTCGATGCTCATTTGCTAGAAGGAAATTAAATAAAGAACCCTACAAGGCAGTGGGCATCAATTCACAATTCTTCATAAAATCTTGAACTAACTGTTCACCGATGCGATAAATAATCTATATCTACATAATTAGATTTGTTAATATAAAATATTATATGATAATATAATATGCGTACGATATAAATAAAAAATATAAAAATAATATTTTTTAAAATTTTAGTAATAAATAAAACTATAAATAATACATTAGTATTCGTAAATTATTCGAGTTTAACTCGAATAAAATTTAAATTTGATTCGATTATTATTAAGTCGTGCTTGAATTTGAGTAATTCAACTTATTAATTGAGTTGAGTTCAAATATTTTTATATTTAATCTGAATAACTTACAAACTTAATCAAATTTTTATATTTTAATATATTTTAATTAATAAAATATCTAAAACTCGAATTCAAATACAAATAATTGAATTTTAATTAAATATAAGAATCGAACTTATTTTTATATGTTAATCGAATTCAATAAAATGAATTCAAGTAGTTTAATTTTTATCTTAAATCAAATTCGAGCTAAAAAAAAAATTTAGTTGAGTTTGAGTTTCAAATTTTAAATTCGATCGATTATACCTTTAATAATAATTATATAAATATTTAATAAAATAAAAAAATATTTTTTATATTTTTATATTGATACGAATTATAATATATAATTTTTATATAAAATATAATACAAATATTTTATAGTTTATATGATATAAATATATAAATCACTAAATTTATACATAATCCCTTATATTAACCGCATTTTAATTTGTTTTGTGTGAAAGAAACAGTGAAAAAACACTTGGGAAAATATATATTTAAGACCCTCAAACTTTTATCGCAATCTTTGAGAAGTTGCCATATTTAAGACCCTCTTAAATTTCCCCATCTCCCCATTGCGCAAACCCACAGCTACTGGCATTGATTTGATTCCACAGAATTTTATGTATCTCACCTGGTGGCCCAGGGACATCCACCAACCACAACCAGGTCGCGCCCACGGACTCGATCAGGCTTGCATGTGAGCATAATAACCGGGACAATGGGGGTAAGAGAGAGAGAGAGTGGTCACTGTTTTTCGCCTGGCTGTAGCTAGGCTGACAACAGGGGCTGCAGCAACGTTTAGCGCGCTGACTTGGGTGATATGTGATTGTGCTGTCTTTTTCTGATGACGATAATCAGATTTTATCATAATCTTTAGTTGAAGATTATGATGATGAGATTGTGATGTCATAATCTCATCATCATTATCTTCAACTAACTATATATTTGAAAAAGAAAAAAAAATGAAAAATATTAATCTAAAACTCGAAAGTAAATATACAAGTTATTAAAGGATTTAATCAATAAAATTTAAATATTTTACTCTTAGGATTTAGATTTAAATATTATTGTTAATAATTTTCTTATTTTTAAATTTAATTAAAATTTTTAAAATTTTACAATCTATCATAATCCTCGATTGAAATTTTTTTCTTCATTTTAAATTTTTTTGACAAAAAAAAAAACTAAATATACAAGTTTGAAAGTAAAAAACCCTCAAAAATGTAAATTGAAGGTTCAATAATCCTCTGCTTAAGGCATCCACAAACCCAATTTGCACGTAAATAACATAAAATTTATGACAAAAAGAACGATTAGAGCGTGAGTTTGCTCGTAAACACTATATATATATATATATATATATATTTAATTAGAATAATGGCAACCACAACCTTTTCGTTGCAATTTTCAATCATAATCGTAATAATAGTGTAATGCCAGAGGCTGAATTCTAAGAGGGAAGAAACTACGATAGTTGGTGATGCCTTATCTATCAAGGGTTAAAATAATCTTGAAAAATTGGAATGTGGAAAAACGTACGACCTCTTCGAGTACATGGTCATAAGTAAGAGAAAACATGGAGCATGAGAAAGCTCACTTAGGCCAGGCCCAGTAAGAAGCTGAAACCAAGATCCATGGTGTAATTGAACCGACACCCACTAATCTTCACCTCAAACTCTTCCTGGGCTTTGCAAGAAAAACGTGTTGAATGAAATTATTTCTACATATTTGATATTTCAATTTCTTATGCACCTGATTTTAATATACTTTTTTTATGTTTCTAAAAAAGGCAAATATCCAAGTTCTAATCCAAATCTAGCATCAGAAATATCGACTTCATCCTTTTCATTATTGACCCAAACTCCGGGAACCGAATTCCTTTTCTTATCGGAATTCCATATCCGCACCTCTTAAATTCCTTTTTTTTTTTTTTATTCCTCAAGAATTTTCTTTGTTTTACAAACTAAGAGATCAATTATTTATGGCATGGAACGTGTTCAAATTCTGTACGGCACTTCGCGCCTTGGGTTCAATTTTGATTGTTTTCGTTCTTGCGGTTATTGGGGTCACTTACTATGCTGTGGTCGTTGCTCATTATGGTCCAAGTCTCCTTCTTGGAGGCTTTGATACGGTTTCTGCTATTGGAGTTCTCTTCTTGTTTCATTTTCTGGTATACCTTTTTCTTCTTTTGCTCTCTTTTTCATGATTTATTTGTGTCGGTAATGGTCCTATGGGGAACAATGATTTTAGCTTTAGCTGTTTCTTTTTTTGATTTGTGATGAAATATAGGATGTTTGATTATAAAGGAGAGTGAATTTAAGTGATTTTATGAGGTTCAGTTTAGTTGAATTATGCTTATTGTGGGCTTGCTGGACGTGGAGGGGAAATATTTTAGTTTTATCTTTAGTTTTCTTTGGTGACCAAATACAGGTTACTTTGTGATGATAAAATTTTATCTTTAGCTCTAGTTTTATAGGTGATCAAATGCATGTTATTTTGTGATGATAAATGAGATCTGAGAATTTTTTTAAGTTATATTTTTTTTTTGTTGTGAATTTTTGTTGTTTTTGTTTGCAATAAAGATGTCAGAGTGAATTCAAGTGACTATATGACTTATGAGGTTTAGTTTAGTGGTGTTTTGCTGAACTTAAAGGGAAAAAAGTATGAAATCTGGAATTAGTTGTCATGATATTTATGGTTTGTTTTCCTTGTTTGCATTTGTAAATTGGTTTTGTTAGATGGCATTGCTGCGTTTTGAATTGAGTTTACCTGTCTTTTCAGCTGGTAATGGTGATATGGAGTTATTCTTCTGTTGTTCTAACGGATCCTGGGGGTGTTCCACCAAATTGGCGGCCTCTCAGGGATGAGGAGAAAGGTGATGCTGATCCTTTGGTAGGTTCAGGTTATCGAAGTGCCGAATTAGATCCATATCAGTCAGCTGTGCCTTGTGATTACACAAACCAAGACATACGTTTCTGTCACAAGTGCAACAACTTTAAACCACCTCGCACCCATCACTGCTCTGTTTGTGAGTAATTTAGATAAATTCTTCTGTTGTAACTTTGTTGTTATGCCATCTTTAGTGAAATAACCCTGGTTTATTTCAGGTAAGAGATGTATATTAAAAATGGACCATCACTGTGTTTGGGTTGTCAACTGTGTTGGGGCATTGAACTACAAGTATTTCCTTCTTTTTCTGGTATGTTAACTTTAATGCATCTATTACAGGTCTCATAGCTGCATGCTTTCATTTATTTGGCACTTAGGCTGATGTGTTCACTGTTGTGGCCATGGAAGTGGATTTATGTTTCTCATTATAAACTTATTTGGTTTGTTGATTAGTCAAAAAATTTTGATGTAGTTATTGTCAAATTCTAATGCCTAAACTTTCCTTTCTTTAGTACTAGAGCTGAAAACCTGTCTTCACCTGATGCATTCATTCAACATGCAGTCTAGGAAGCTATATTGACTATCAGTATGTATGTCGAGCAAGCCACAGCATAAGATGAACTGGTGGAAAAGAGAATAAATGGAATGGCTGAACTTAGGATGAACCAAATAGGGTCTTCTCGTCATATTGTTAGATGCATAATAGATTATTCTTCATTAGTGGCCTGCTAAGTCACAACTTATAAACCAAAAAACTAGAAGACACAATATGATTTTCTCCACTGTACATTTCCCAATGATCGAAGCCTTAAGCCTCATAAGCCCCTAATTTCTTGCTCATAAAATTAATATTTTATTTCTCAAAGAAAATGATATCCACCTTGATCAGTTAGGAAAGCTGCCACCAGTGTGAATGCTAATTTCTGACCGTTGTGTGCAGACATTGCCTATAGTTCATCAATTTACACGTGAACTTCAGTATGATGAAGTTGTCTTCTGTGGTGACCATTGAATATCATATGATGCCATCCTTCTATTGAGCAATTGCATGCCTTTCATCGCCCACCATACTCATAACTAATAAATGATATGATGAAACAATTTACTGAGAAAGAGTGGTAGATATGTTTATAGAACTTGGATTGTATGTTTTTTATACTCAAAAAGGTGAAACTTATTTTGGAACCATTGTGAGCTCTCTCTCTGTCCCAGATGGACACCGTACTGACAAACACACCCACCTGTATAAAGACGGTATTGTATGTAGAATTCTAGAATTCAAGGCTTTGTATGCTTTTGTTGGGATAATACGTGCACTTGAGCTTGTATTATAAATTTTACTTGACCAGTCATCATAGTGATTGATATGCTCCATTTCTAGCTTTTAACATTTTGCACCTTCAGCACTACTTTTCTGTTTACGAGCCTACCACCTATTTTCTGTTGGCAGTTTCTTTTGGCATATTGGGTCTTATGTATTAAACAGATTCTTTATTCTTATGCCAAGTAGATATCACTGTTTGACATGTGATTAGCTGGCATCTACCAAGAGGAAAAAAAATGAGTTGTAATTTTTTGCTTAAATTTGATGCAGTTTTACACATTTCTTGGGACAACACTTGTCAGTTTATCGTTATTGTGGGTTTTTCATTGAATTTTTTAACGATGGTGAGATAGCTGAAACACCAGGAACACTTGCAGCTACTTTTATGGCATTTGGTAAGTTTCTAGGGGTTTAAATTTCATTCATCTAATTGGTTGTCATTATTTTAACTAATTCTTATCCAAATTTTCAGTTTTAAACATAGCATTTGCACTGAGTATTCTGGGCTTTTTGATTATGCACATAACATTGGTGGGAACCAATACCACCATTATTGAGGTAATGTCTTGCATAATTATGTTTCCCCTTGTTGCCCACATAATTAATAAAGGTCAAATTTATGCGTTACTCTATTTTATTTTCAGGCATATGAGAAGAAAACCACTACTAAGTGGCGTTATGACCTTGGTTGGAAGAAAAATTTTGAACAGGTTACCTCTTTTTTCTTTCTTCCCTAGCCCCTTCCTTTCAGCTTTGATACTTATCCAGTGTGTGCGTGTTTCATCAATCTCTGGGTGTCTTTTAGGGCCCTTGTCTATTTTATAAGATGTTAAGCATTGAATAAACTTTGGAAAGAAAAGGGTAAAGGAGAACCTAAAAATATAAATGCCATGTGGCTGCTAGAACGCTAAAAGATCTGATTAAGTTGCTTCTTTGATTTTCAACATTGGTGTCTAAATTTGACTTCTGCAGTTAACTGCATGGTAGTATACCTTGAGGTTCAAAACTTGCTACGTCTTGTTCTTGTGTTTCCGACAAATTTCCTCAAGTTGCTTTGTTTCCTGCTTGATTGAACTTATCAAAGATTTGAAATACACTTGATCCTTCATCTTTTGGCCTTTTTACTTTTACACTTGCTCGAAAGCTTTGCTCTTCCATGCCCCGTATACTCATGTGGATATACTTCCTTTCCCTCTTTAAGCTTCGTCAAATCACTGTGCAGCATTGTTCTGAAAATGACACACATTTCGAAGCTGCATAAATGCTTATCTTATCATTGCTGCCATGGGAGTCTAGTTAAAAGACTCTGCTGGTAGCAAATTGTTATGCTACATGAACATTGAAATTTTCTATAATAGTTCATCTTTAGTTATGTTATTGAGTTTACTTGAGGATATAGATTCTAAGTGAAAACTTTGCCTGAAATTAATTTATGCATCATGCGCATATGAATTTCATCGTTGATCATGGTAGGCATTTAGCTTTTTCTGAATTTCAGGTGTTTGGAACACAGAAGAAGTTCTGGTTCATCCCAGCCTATTCAGAGGACGATTTAAGACAAATGCCATCCCTTCAGGGTTTCGAATATCCAACGAGGCCTGACTGGGAGCCACCTCAGCAGCATTAATTGGGTTACATCTTATGTACATATTGTATCCTTGTAACTTGTAAGTGATAACATCGGTTTTATTGTAAGCAGTGGTTATTTCCTAAAAATTGCTCGAGTCTTACAAGTGGAAGCCCAACATTTTCATTGCTTTTGCCCTCTTGCCAGTCACCATGTAATCTTTCCATTTGAGCTTGTATTCTTTGTATCTTCATTATGATTGCAATGCTTGAAACGTTGGAAAATATTACTTTCCCCTCCCAGACATCGGACAACCTGGTTGGTTGCCTGCAATTTGAGTTTATACGATGAGTTTGGTGCTTCTAATTCTAATGTTAAAACATACTAATTTGCTTTCTCACTTTGATTTGACATGTTCTTGTTATATCAATTTGAAAAACCCACAAACCTTAAAAAATTGGTGAAAATAATTTAACCAAATTTGTCCTTTTACTTGTAAATAAACTTATCATTTTTATATTGCGTTAAATATATCTATAAAATATAAAATTTTATTTTCTGAAATTCGTTTTGACAAGTTAAATACAAAATGTATTTTTTTTTTTACAAATTCATATAATTTTTTATTAAATTTTAAATGATGTTTTACATTTTTTTTTGTAATTTTCTTATTTATGTTTAAAATGGTTGCTTGTTAAATTTTTTTGTTTTTTTTTCATACAAGTTTTTTTTAGGGCTTACACACCACACGAGTCATTTGTATTTTGCTTATAAGTTGGGAAAAAAAAATCGCACGTGCGGATTGAGGAGTTCAATGTAGAACTCCCGCACGTACTATATCCTTCCATTCTCTTTCTTGCAAATTAGGCGGTTCCCCATTTCGATCAATTATCAGACCAATTAAGGTTTCGATCCTCCCAAATTTGCCTCAATTTCCCCTCCTTTTCAAGGTACCCTCTCTCTATCTCTCACACTCATTTTTAGGGTTTAATTTTCATTGAAAATTAGCGTTTATGTTACGATGATCACGCTCTATCCAATTACTGATTAGTTTGTTTTAGCGATTGTATCTTACAAAATTCTTCTTCTTTTTTTAATAAAAATCTGTTTTACTCGTTTTATAAGCATATGCTGTCTTTGATTTTTTTTTAAGATGGGTGTTTCTTCAAACTTTTGGTTTTAGGGTTTTGGTTGATCTTTGCTTTTGAAATATGATACAACCGGCCCTTTTATTTTGGTTTTTCCATTTGAATATATGTATAACTTGGAGTAGAATCGCTTGTCGCTTTATTTGTTATATAATCGCTTGGCGAAATTGTTAGATTTAGAATGATTTATGTTATCTTTGTAATTTAAAAAATTATTTTTCTTTTTTGTTGTTCTAAAAGTTGCTTCTTTTTATTGGGTATCAGAAAATGCAGGGAGGCAGAGGTGGAAGGGATCCTTTCTTTGATTTTGGTGAACCCTTTGGTGGTTTTGGGGGCTTTGGTGGTCCTAGAAGTTTAATCTCCAATTTCTTTGGAGGAAGGGACCCTTTTGATGACCCTTTCTTCACACGCCCTTTTGGAAGCATGTTTGAATCAAGCTTCTTTGGCCCCGGCCAAAGTCCTTTTCCGGATATGCATCCAACTGGGTTTATTGAGCATCAAGCCCCTGAGCCAAAGAGACCAAGGGGCCCGATTATCCAAGAACTAAACTCTGATGATGAAAAAGAAGAAACTGATAAAGAGACGAAAGAAAATCCTAAGAAGCATGGTAGGTCGAATGATGAACCTTATGTTGAGGTTCCTGATGATGAAGCTGGACAGCCTGAGAGAAGGAACAGGCATTTGCAGTATATGAATGGTTTCAATAGTTCATATCATAGACAACAGCAACAGCCTCAAACTCGCAGCTTTACGTTTCAAAGCTCCACTGTCACTTATGGTGGTGCTAATGGAGCTTACTATACTTCATCCAAAACAAGGAGGACTGGAAGTGATGGAGTAAGTACTTCTGTTGTTTAGAGATATGTTCATTGGTAAGCCCTTGTTTTTTCTGTATTTTACATTCCTCTATTGTGGAATAGGTTGCCTTTGAAGAAACCAAAGAAGCTGACACAGCCAGAGGTCAAGCAAGCCACCGGGTTTCTAGGGGGCTTCATGACAAGGTAACTTGAAACTATTGTTTCTCTTGGTCAATCAAAATTTTGAGTTTGGATTATGTTATTGGTTGTGAGTGATAGTAGAGTGAATTTATGATGAGAACTTTTGTTGCAGGGTCATTCGGTCATGAGAAAACTGAATTCTGATGGTGGGGTGGATACGATGCAAACCTTGCACAATTTGAATGAAGGTAAGCACATGTTATATGCTACAGTGTGCTATGTTATGCCTATTGATAGAGGCATACTAACTTGTCCATGGCAGTTAAGTAAATATTTTGAGTTGGTGAATTTTCCAGATGAGCTTGCTGGTTTTGAAGAAGCTTGGAATGGAAATGCCAGAAAATATTTGCCTGGCTGGTCTGGGAATTTTAATGGCCATGATAGCATAGGTAAGATTTGTCTTACTATACTTTAAATATGCTTTTTACCTGGTAATTTTACATCATTGTTCTTGGGAAAAAGCAATACCATGCTTTCTCTTTTCATCTATGCGATTGTTTCACTCACTCTATATTAATGTATGATTTTGAAACACACTTTTGCATAAATCCAGTTTAACTGTTTCAGAGTATATGTCAATGGTGGATGTGTGAAGGTAGTATTAGTACGGGACAGGAGTTGCGTAGCTCTTGGGTGATGCTTTTACAACTTTTAACGTCAAATCATATTTGTTGCTGCAACTTTTGTCACAGGGACTGGCCGCAGTGTACAGAATGGGCAGGCTGGTCGAGGAGGATGGGCACTTCCTTCTACTGAGCGTTCTCAGCAGTCAGGGAGAGTGATGCAGGATTTCATAGACAGGGCAGGGCCCTCACGCAGCCAGCGCTCCACGAGGATGAAGGATTCGACCGATGTTAAAGATAAGAGTACTCAATCACAAGGGAAGCGAAGGAACTAAGTTGGAAGGCACCCAACAGATCTTGTGATGAAGAGGGCGTTGCGATGCCGTTTCTCATACAGCAATCTATGGTTGGCCATAGCCATCTTATCAAGTTTAGAGCCTTTGTTTTCTCTTTAGTTGCATATTTTATCACGTGTCTGTTGTGGCAGACCAGAGAGGTCTAGACAATTGCTGCAAATAATGCACTTGCCAGTTCTACGAGTTTTCAGTATATAAAACTTGCAATTTGAGATGGTTGTCCATTCATGGTTTTTGATGAATTTTATTGTTGCGGCAATGTTCTCTTGTGGATGGTTTCCTGAACCTTGTTTCACCTATTATTGAAACGTGCCACGTGCCTTGAAACGTGATTAAGTAAAGTACTTAAAAATAAATATGATCGTGCTTTGAAAGGCCCCTAGCGGCTACCGAGCGTTTCCCAAATCGGTTATCCCATTTCTAGGATAGGGTTTTTGCTGTATTGAAGGAGTGAGTCTCGCCGTTGTCGACCATTGGGCAATCGGTAATCCAATTGAAAAGGCAACGTGCCACGTGCCTGGCCACATGAAACCCAAAAATTAGATGGAACCTAAGCCACCGATTTTACCCCATGCTGGAAAATCCAAAGTCGCAATTTCCAAACCAGAAGAATTGCAGAATCTTTTTGAACCACTAGAACCTATTAAACAAACTCCAACGTTGAAAACGACAGTTTCTTCTCTATTCTGATAAAACTTTAATTTTGGGTTCCAAACAGAATCTAAATGGCCGTTATTAGGTCAAGCGCAAACATGATTCTGAAAGAAATCCTCCGTCATTCACCGCTATCTTCCGTTTCCTTATCATCTTCGGCTCGTGCGCTTCTGCCCGGTTCAGGTGGGACAATCATCCGGGTGACTCCCAGCCGTGGAATCAGTTTCAGCCGGATTCGATGCGCGGTATCAGACTCCGCCGCTGAGAGAAAAGTCTCTGCCCGCCTCTCGCAAATGCAACAGCTCCTGCAAGAAGCGGAAGAGCGAGCCAGCTCCGCCGGGGATGAGCCCACCCCTCAAATCACTCTGGGTAACTAACCAATTAAATATGCTTTACGTTTTCACTCTTTTTTCTGGTTATTGCGAATACAAGGTTAAGTAAAGGAAATAAATTTTTTTGTATAGAGCATTTTTTTCAGTTGTTTTTAACAAGGCAATTTTAAGACTGCGTTATGCTGAAGTTATATGCTTTTTGACTAACAAACTCTTGGCAGATCATGTTACTGTGAGTTTCGCAAGAAGTGGTGGCCCTGGAGGTCAAAATGTAAACAAGGGTATTAAGTTATACCTCTTCATGTTTCAGAATCCATTTCATTGTAGACCCCCTACCCTAGCCTGGCTGCTAAGACTTATCTTATATTACTTTCTTTTGTTGTTGAATGTACAGTTAACACCAAAGTGGACATGCGCTTCAATGTAAAAAACGCTTATTGGCTAAGTGACAGGATCCGAGAAAGGATTATGCAACTGGTTTGTCCCTGCCATATGTTATTTGCTTATAAAAAGTCATGATATTGGAAAAAGATAAGAACTGAAACGTCTTTATAAAGCTACAACAAATTGATTGTACATAGTTTGTATTACATTACAATGCTATGATTCTATACTCATCTCTCTCTCACATATTAAGGATTGAGAAATAAAGCTCTAATAAAACATGTCATGGTTGAACATGGGCAAGGTTTTAAACAATGTTTTGCCAAGACTAGCAGAAGTATGCAACTATTATGTTCTCTCCCTTTCTTCTTCCCCTTTCTGCCCCGTCTAATATTCAACTATTTGTGTGCTTGTCCTTCGAGTGCAGTTATACTAGTCTCAGTAAGCGTTAATGTAGCTTGTACTAGTAGTAATTTAAAATTGTTTTGCCAAGATCACAGCGAAACCAACATAAGAGTTAAAAAAGGTGAAGTCCATAGCTAATTCAGGATTATTTAAGGGAACTTAAATGATATTTTTGGTTATGTCCATTTAGAACTTGTGAAAGGCACAATGAAGTGTGATAAGATACGAGTGGAGGCTATAAAAGTGGCAAAAAGAAGATCAAGCTACATGAGCTGAAATGCGAACAAGGGACAATTGAGAATCTCTTCTGAACTTTAGTTTCTATTATTGATAACTAGTAATTAAGATTAAAGTGAAATAAGTGAAAATGAACTAAAAATAGCATAAACATGGATGGAAGTGCTTGAGTTTTGAGTACTAAAGATGCTCTGCTGATATGAGAGATATGACTCTACTATGAATTAGGGTCTTCCGTTGGGGAGTTTAAACCAAAGTTTACATTAAATCAACATATTTGTGCTGACCCCAGAATTCGCATTTGCTTGCAGTTTAGATTTCCCTGGATCTGGTTATTATCACCTTGCAAAGACCTCAACTCACTATTCTATTTATGAACAGGAGAAAAATCGGATAAACAAGGATGGAGAAATTGTGATTTCTTCAACGAAGACTAGGACTCAGAAGTTTGTTTCTCTCCCATTTCTGTGTTCAATTTTCTTTTAATATGTTAACTACATAAATCATTTGAGTTATATTTTGTTCAGGGGAAACATTGATGATGCTCTGGCAAAACTACAGGTGCTGAAATACTCTCATTTTCTCTCTAGGAATAGTAATTTGCCACTATTAGCTAAATAGTCATGCCTAAAATTGGTCGTTACCCATCAAAGATGCAATTGAACATATCTGGTTTGCTACTGCCTGCTGTGTTTGCAATTGTATGATATGCTGTTGATGTTTTGATTTCTGGATATGGTCATCACTTAATCATCTTTTTGTCCTTTTTGCTTGAACCAATAGGCAATCATTGATGCTGCTGCTTATGTGCCACCACCCCCATCAGAAGAGCAAAAGAAAAAAATTGCAAAGATGTAAGAGTTTATCACATTTACAAGCGGACACTGCCAGTTGCTTGAGCTGTTTTGTGATTGTGTTGTTTTAGATGCAATATTTAAATTTTTTTTCAATGATATTCCGTGTGATTGGCTCTGTATTGCTATTTATTTGTGTTTCCATGCACTTATAGGGCTGCGATTGGGGAGCAAAAACGCCTTAAAAGCAAGAAGGCCCTTTCAGACAAGAAAGCGTTTAGAAGAAGTCGGGACAGTTGGGACTAAATTATGGTTTCATAGTTAATTAGGTTAATAGTGTCTGAATATCACCAAATCAGTAGGGGAATAGAGAGGTAGCTGAAGCCTGGAAGGGAGCTTGAAGGACTGTTTTGTCCGTATTTCTTGTAAGAATTATTCATGGTTGGGCAAAAGAAGTACTCTCTCGATGTAAAATAACCATTGATCCATTACAGGCTGCCAAAGCACATCATTCTCATAGATATTACACTCCAAAATTTTGATTACGTTTTTTTGTTTGTCACAGGCACTCATAGCTAATGGTATTCTGAGAATTTACTGTTACAGTGTTTTTCTTCGTGTGAAAGTGAAATTGCAATTACTTAAAGGTCTAAATCTGCATGCTTATTTATTCAAATTCAGTTGGTTCATGTGGGAAACAAGGTTGAGATTCTTGAATTCTCACAAATGGACGTAATTTTGACGAGCATAAACTACCAATTTACTTGATTATCATAAAGAAAAAATGGTTCAAAACTGAAAACCTCCCCCCTCCCCCCCACACCACGCACGCGTGGACATGCACACACAAAAATAACAAAGCAAAAAGAAGATGAACTCGTTAAAGATCGGGTACTCGCTGACCCAGATTCATAATCATTGCCCTGCACATAATTTTTTTTTTTTTCTATACGAAAGAAGGGATGAGAAATAGATTGAGAAAAATAGAAAATATGGTGTATATTTCCTTGAAACTATTAGCATTTGATTCAACCAGGTCATTGGAATGTTCTTCTAAATAATTTTCAGGTTCAAAATTTCTGTACAAGTCAAGGAAAAAGAAGTTGAAAAGAAATCTACACACATATCTGTTCTCCGTTTCTGCAGGACAAAAGAGATAATCCTACTTTCGTATAACATGTTCTTCCCCTGATCGTCGATCGACATGCTTGATCCATCGCCTTTCACCTTTGCCTGAACCTGAGTTTCCTCCACTGGTTGCTACATGTGCAATATCCAAGCCTTTCCCTACCGGAAGAAACACAGAACGCACAAGCCAGCGTGAACCATCATCAGTAACACTTCTCCATCTGAAACTTGAAGCACTTTTGGAATTAGCATTCTTGCATACCAGAACAGCCCCCCTGTTACTCAGTTTTGCCAGCCTTAATACCCTGGAAAAGTCCTTTCGCTGGCTATCCACCACCATGAAATCTATGCCATTTAACCCATTCATTACCTCCTCAGGTTCTCCAATAATAACTTCTGGCGACATGCCGGCCACTTCCAGGGCCTTAACGTATTCTAATCTTGATCTTTCATCGGGAACTATACATGCATGTCTTCCATCAGTGTGGATTCTAGCAACCGCCAGGCCAATGCTTGTTGCGGTAGCTCCACCTTGTGACCAGGTCTCCACAATGAATCTCGCGTTCCAGCCTGCAGCCATGGCTGAAACAAGCTCTGCTACACCAGATTCATGATAAAGTTCACACTGCAAACAAACCAAGAAAAAGAGAACCGATCAATCAAATGAAAAATTACCAAAAAAAAAAAGGAAAACAATTAGGCATCAGAATTCAGAAGGTTGCAGTTAATGCTTACAGATTTAACAGTATCAATATAAGCCTTGGATGCTGTCTCGGGTGACCAAACTAGCTTCATTTCTTCCTTCAGTTACCTTTCTGTGCGTCTCTCTCTATCTTTCTCTCTCAGCGTTCTTAAGTTATGCTTTTCTTGGTTGACAAGCTGAAAACAGTAGCTTGATGTTGGGTTCTTATTGAGACAAAAAGATGTTCTGGAAACTGATTTGTGTTGGACCGTCGACAATGTACCCCCACACAAATCCAACGTGTGGCGGATTAGGATGACTACGCGTTGGTATTAATCTAATAATAATGTCTCCCAGGAGTGATGTGAAACAACCTGGTTTTTCAGAATCTTTCAAATGTCAGTTTCCTTAATAAATTCTTTGCAAAAACCCAGGTGGTCCACGTAAATTACAAAGGATAAGGGGTGTGGCCATCTAGCTAATGCTCCAAATATACCCATTTCTACATTGCTCTACGCGGCTCCACCTACTCGCGGAAATCTTCAAAGTTTAAGCTAATGCTAATCTGTTTCCAATGGATTATTGTCCTCCTTGTAAATATATTTTTGGTATTTAAAATTATCAAAATTTAAATTTTGATTATTAAAATTAAAATTTTAATATTATATTAACAGATTATATGATTATTTATAAAATTTAAAATTTTAACCACTTTATGTTATATGTTTTTATATAAAAAAAACGTCACCTTCCGTAAATATTTACTTACTAAATTTAAAGTTTTATAGGGTCATCATGCTGCTAATTTCAAGTTTCATGTTTTTGACGAAATCAAACCATTTTTAGATTTTACATTCAATTCGTTCCCAACTAATCAAAATTCTATTTTATTTTACTATTTTTTAATTTCTTAATATATATAACCCCTTGTAAATATTGTAGTTTCATAATTACCATAAAAATTGTAATGGTTACGCACAAGAAATTCATACTAATATCATGTATATGCATTCGCTTCATCGATAATTAATTTATATGATTAAAAAATAAAAATATATAAATTTTATGTCAATATATACTATATTTTTATTATTAGTTTCCTTATTCAGCCAATTAATATATTATTGTAAGTTGTTGTGAATGTGTTATTGTTGGGCAAAAAGTCTTCATTCCAATCACACTAGCAAAAGCAAATCAAATATTAATCAATCATATAAGAGATAATAATTTAACATAGTTTGATCTAATCGATATACATCCATGGATGAGAAACAAGATTCATTAATTGTAAAAAATTACAAATATACAATCAAATTATATCAACCACTCAACAACCAATACTTATAGACTTTTTCAATCTTTTATAGTCTTATAAAATATTTTTAACCCAAATAAACACATACCCATGTGTATCAATGCCCCATAATTACGTAGACTATCTCAATCTTTTTTAGTCCACTCAAACATACACACCATCATACCTATGTAGATCAACTCATTTTCTTTTAATCCACTCAAACATACATATTCATAAAAATATTAATCTCCTGTAATCCTATGGAATGTTTATCCTATAAAATTTTATAATTTTTTTACAATTTTTTCTCATATCTAACCAGATTATATTTATTTATAAGCATATAAACTTGCTTATTAAAAATCTCTTTGTTCTTATAATTCTTATTTTGAAAGTTAAACTTATTTATTAAAATTTTATTTTAAAATTTTTTTTTTTTTTATAAATTTTCTTGTCCATCAAATAATATCTAATTAATCTTAAATAAATTTATTATAAAATTTGAACCATTATTCTTTTCCGTTATTTTTATTAAAATTACTCAATCGAGTAACTTTTGTTTAATTTGGTGAGGATATATACTAATACAAGGTTTCTATCTTTGACTTAATATTTCATCATTAATGCAGCTGTGGAACTTTTGTGCCTTTTTTTGTTTCCATGTGAAGATGATGACAGCCTCATTTCGTGGAAGTATGACAACTAGATTTCATTTCAAACGCATCTGGCACGCAAAAGAGTTGAAAGAAAAAAAAAAAACTCATTTCGATCATGTACATTGCATTTTTGTGATAATCACGATCCCACTTTTCTTCCTTACGGATATTTCCATTAAGAAATATATCGGGCAACGAGTGTATATATATGTATCACATGCCATATGTAAAATTTTAAATACATTGCGTTAATATAAAAAATATATTTTTTAAATTATTCGGAAAAAAAATTAATTATAAAAATAAAATTTAAAAATACCCTTTGATTGCATTAAGAATAATACAAATAAGGGAAGTCTCATAATTAACTACTCTCTCCGTTTCAAAATATTTTGTATTGATTTTTACGAAATTAAAAAAAAATTTGACTTTAACATATTTAATATTTTTTATATAATTAAAATTTCATGAATTTTAATTTTAAAAAGTAAAATATATATAATAATTTTAAAATATAAAAAAATAAAAGTTTTAAATATTTTAAAAATATATAATATAATTTTAAGATGTTTCGAGAGGGAAAGATAAATAAAGAAAATATGATAGATGGAATATATATTTGTTAGGTTAGTCTTGACTTTATAAGTACACAATTTATCCATGATTTTAATGAATTAATCTTGAGTGGAGGTGAAATGATGAATGTTCTTCAAGAGGATATACAATTTTAATTAAAAGATAATGAAAAAGATCAACTTGTTTAAAATTTTCTATAGTGCAATGATCGTAGACTTCATTTCACTTTTCAAGGTAGATGAAAATGGTTAGTCATTATGGTTTTTTTTTTAATTATTAATATTACTATTTTTTCTCTTTTCCCCACCTCGGCTTAGCCTTTTTTGGTTCAGTGGAGGTCACGAAGGAGCGGTGCCAATTCAATGCCACTACCTCACATTCATGTGACCAATATTTTCTTTCTTATTGTCAACTTTACTGTAACCTTTAACTGTAGTTTTAGATTCAATGAATACTTGAATTTTTTTTGAAGAAAAATAAAATAAATATAAAATTTATATTTAATATATAATTAATATATAAATTTTATATATTATTAATAAATTAGATGATAGTATTTTATTAATAAATAAATATATAAAATTTTATTTTTTAATTATTTATTAATAATATAATATTATTTATTTTATTTTATTAATAAAATAATATATATTTGATTCTTTAACAACGTATAAAATTTATAAACAAAAATATATTACATAAGCCCTGATTTCTTTTTAGTGCTCATCAATTTTGATTTTGATTATAAAAAATCCAAAGCCAAAGTCAAAACAGATAAAGCTTCTTTTCTCAGTCGTACGATAACGATAGAGACCGTACGACACTCGACGGCCGAATGGTTGTTCTCCGCCTTGACTTTTGAGCCTCATCGTTAAGCGTGACGCAGGCAGAGCTCAAGCTTATTGATTACTTATGGCGAAGAAGATAATGGACAATTTGGATGCTGAATATTCAAGTTGGCCATTATCATCCTTCTTTTTTATAGAATATTTATGATTAATTGGGATTAATTGATGTCTAAATTAGGTTTACTTTGTAGTGCGGGTAATTATTACTCGGTCATTTTCATGGATTTTAATTTGTCCATACCTAATTTTTAAGGTAAATTATAAGATTAATCTCTATTTTCTAATCAAAATCAAAATCAGGAATTAGTTTTTTTTTTTTTTTTTAGTTTTACAAATTCGTTAATTATTTAAGCCAAAAAAAAAAAGGATTTAGCTTTGAACAAATTTGCATGAATAAGCTTGGGCAAGTCAATAATTCAATATAAATTAATTTTTCTTGTCCTTCACCCTCGATATAAATTAAATGCACACAGATTAAATTATTTAAATTATTTAAATATAAAAATTTTGATTTATTTAAATTATTGCACACAGATTAAATCTTGATTTTTAGATCAAATCCACTAATTCGATCAAATTTTTTATTTTATCAACAAGAAGCACTTAATTGTACGGACATTGATTAAAGTCAGAAATGAGAAATCTGGAATTATGTGAATGGGTATAATCATCCCAACTCTCCGACACCATGAATACAAAAATTAGGTAAAGCTTTTGCAAGATTAAGCTTTCCCCCAGTCATTATGATTTCTGTGACTACCACCACTTCAGCATTAGCGTAATTGTTTTTTGCACTGAGGCTGGTATGTACTATGTCTTTGCAAATTCAATTCTTCTTTTATATATATATATATATATATGCTCTATCTCATTTATAAAACTATAAATTTTTGCTCGCATTTCGTTAAGGGATAATTTTTTTTTGTTGAAATGCTTTCTATTTAAAATATTTTTATATATATATTTTACTTGATATAATTAATTAAACTTTTTAAAAGTTTACTTTAGCAAAAGATGAAATTAGCATTTAAATATTTTATTTAATTATAAGTATATGAATGTCTCTATAAAAATGTTAATTTTGAATCTCCATCCGTTAAAACTTTTCATGCATTATATCTTTTCCTATGAAATAAGTAAATATTTCAATTATTTAATCATATTTTATTTTATTAACTATAATTTTTCATTAATTTCTTTGTTGAAATTATAAAATAATAGTATGGAATAAATTATTTTTAATAAAATATATAATTTATTGAAATGAAATACAAGTATAAAAAATTAAAACCAATTTTAATACTTACATTATAATTAATTAAAATAAATATTTTTCTTTATTATCACAAAATTAATAGTTGATTGGTATTTATTGTATTTGATTAAATGCATATTTTTATGCAACATTTATTTTAAATTTTATTTAATAAATTAATTTTATCTTATTTTTTAGCGTGGATTTTTAATTTACTTTTAATTGATATTTTAATGATATTTTATTATTATTTCGTGATTTTTTGAGATTTTATTAATTTTTACTTGATTTATGATTTTTTTTTTTGCAAAAACAAAAAAAACCTCAAAGTTGACTTTTAGTTTAATTAAAAAAAAAAAACCTTAAAGGGCTTTTAATTGGCTGCCAATGGCATCCAATTGAGGTCGTAACAGGGACTTTAGTTACAGTATTATTAGGACTACCGTTAACATTAAGTTATAGATGTGTTAAAGAATATTTGAGATTAGTTTATGCTCATATTGAAAATTTTAAATATTGTCTTAAATTTATGTTTATCACAAGAAAAATTTATATAAAATTTCCTGTAGATGTTGTTCATAGGTGGAATTCCACCATATTTGATGTTGAAAACTTGTTTAATTTACAAAGATATTCTTACAATATTTTCTATTCATGGAAAGATGTTTGGAAACTTGTTTAATTTACAAAGATATTATTACAATGTTTACTATTCATGGAAAGATGCTAGAAGATTATCCTTTAACACAAATGAATTGGGGATAAGATAATAAAATGAAAAGGAAGGAACATATGAGCTCTGGGTGGGCAAGAGCCGAAGGCTCAAGAGAGTTTTCCAGGCTCATGGCCCCATATGACCCAATCTAAGAATCAACTCAAAGCCCACGTTCTTCCTCAGTATTCGAACATGTCCAATCCCATTCAAGAATTTCATCGAAAATCTGTGTCCAACTCCAAACAACGGGTCAGTGTCACGAACCAATAACTCGACCGAAGCCCACGTGTCATCCACCCAACTCGCCCCTGCCAAACATCCAAGCCCCTTCTTTCCAACCTTAAACCCTGTAAAAGCAACCCAAATCTCCATCCTGAAACGACTCAAAATGCAACGTTACAGTCCCTCTCCTCTCATCCAACATGGTTCCCTTCACCATATCCAAAACGCCGGTTCACTTTGTTCTCACTTGAAATCCCGATCCATGATCCGGTTCTCGGGCCCCGACACAATCGAATTCCTTCAGGGTCTTGTAACAATCGATGTACGGAGATTCGGTGAAACCCCGAGTGAAGATAACTCCCCCGTTCCTACGCCAAGCGTTGCGCATGTCGTAGCTCCTCCAGCGTGTGCAGCTCTTTTGACGTATCAAGGAAGGTTTTTGTATGACTTGTTCTTATATAGGCCGCCCCGAACTCAGGAGAAGCTGGACAGGACTGAGTCGGGTCCGGGTCGTGGGCCTGGTGGGTCGGTGGAGATTTTGCCTGATGCTGACGGGTAGGTCCTGGATGAGTTGTTGGCGACTATTATGAAGTGGGTAGTTTTAGTTTACTTTTTTCTTAAAGATTGGATTTTTAATTTTGATAGAATAATTTTCTTTTGTTTATAGCTTCTGCATTTGAATTACTTAGGATCTCTCATTCTCAAATTAAGGATCAGTGTCAAATATTCTGTTGTTTTTAGCTTTATTTAAAAAGCTTTCTTTTATGTTTCTAAATTCTAGTAGCTACTTTGGTCGTTGCTTTGATGAGCCTCTGTTGGATAGATCTGTATTTCGAGTTTGGCATTGAATAGTCATATTCTTTGCCATTATTATTATTTCTTGAATTCACACTCAGAATGAATTAAAATGTCAACCGGTCTGGTCAGAACAAATATTTTTCGTCCCGTACCCTACCGAAGATTTTTTTTATATATTTAAATTAATTTTGATATTATATAAATTATATTTTATTTAAAATTAATAAAAATTATTTTTAAATATAAAATATTATTTTTAATATAATATAAAATTAAATAAATATATAAATAAATAAATAATTAAATAAATAAAAATTATATATAAAATTAAATCGGATTTATCTAAAATTTAATTTTGATTTTTTTTATTATTATTTGATTTGATCTAAAATTTAATTTTTCAAAAAAAAAATTCGATCCTATGAGATCGGATCAAATCAAAATCTATTGAAACGGATTGGGCTGCAACTTTAGTATGAAGTGGCGGTTTCTTTTAACAATGGTTGGTTGAAGAGATAAATCTGAAAATGTTCTTGTATCTTGGCCATTGACTATTATACCTGCGAGTGATGTGTGCTTGTCTTTTATAGTAATGCAAACTTTAAAATTCTTGTTAATGGTTGTTCCTGTATTTACTGTTGCAGATATCGATTGAGGTCTATAATAGATATTGAGAATATGGCAGAAGACTTCTCTTGCTGGCAGATGTACGGCAGGAACCTGTCGGCCAGAGGCAGCTTCAGTTGGTTGGGGGAGTGGTGTTGATAGTTCTGGCAAGTCAGTTTCACATGGCAATGATGTTGGATGGCAATGGTTTAAGGATCTCAGATTGGTTTGTCTAGGTTTTAGGGAGATTTTCCATCTGGTACAACACGTCAGTCATTGGCTTCGAGATAATAATGGATTTAAGATTGTATTATTTCTTAAGAAGTCATGCAACCTACATGCTGCCTAAACTGAAAATTTTCATACCCTTTGTCTGTCGCAGCATCCTTAGTTGAGTCTGACAAAGAAACAGATGAACATAATTATCTTCTGTGGAGATTGGAGAAGGGAGTTGCAGAGGGCTCAACTGAAATTCCAAAAGATGCTTGTTTGCGTTGTTGCTAATGGTATACTCAAGTTTCTTTTGAATATTTCCTGCATTTTCAAACTTTGTTTTTATCATGGTTATTCTACTTATTGTTGTTTCTTCCAATTTATTGTGAGATGCTTCACCTTTGTTTTCCATGCATTTGATTTGATAGTTCTCCGCAACGGGTCAATTCTGAAATTTGTTAATCATATTTTAACTTGCACCTTTTTATATTGATGGGACAAGTCACACCTTGTAAAGTTTTTTCTGTCAGAATCCCCAAACGACGTCGCTTTTCTTTACAAATCCACACCATCAATTCGCCTCTGTTTTGGACAAGTCTCCGATTCTCACTCCAACAAAAACTCGAATTTCATCGTTCGAAAAGGTAAAAATAAAGCCATTTCTTGTCTTCCATTCGAAAACCCAGATCGTATAGAATGGGTAAGGATCTGAGCGACGACCAAGTCTCATCAATGAAGGAGGCTTTCACTCTCTTCGACACCGACGGCGACGGCAAGATCGCTCCATCGGAGCTAGGGATCCTAATGAGGTCTCTCGGTGGAAACCCTACCCAAGCCCAACTCAAAGGTATAGTCTCTGAAGAGAAGCTCACGGCGCCGTTTGACTTCCCCCGGTTTTTAGATCTCATGGCGAAGCACATGAAACCTGAGCCTTTTGACCGCCAGCTACGCGATGCGTTCAAGGTGCTGGATAAGGAGTCGACCGGGTTTGTCTCCGTGTCGGATCTGAGACATATATTGACTAGCATTGGGGAGAAGCTGGAGCCGTCGGAGTTCGATGAGTGGATCCGGGAAGTGGATGTCGGGTCGGATGGGAAGATCCGTTACGAGGAATTTATTTCCAGGATGGTTGCCAAGTGAGAAAAGCCATCCATGTTTGTTTCTATTTCTTCTTTGATTTTCAAAAAATGTTTTTTCTTTTTCTTTTTTGAAGGGGAGTTAAGGGCTTGTTTGGATTTGATGTGGCGAAGGAAAATGTGTTTTTCATTTTCTGCTGTTGTTTCTTTCTATGCTAACTCTCAGAGAATTTGATTGGTGTGTAGCTTGTATTAATATTCTTGTGTTTGGTTTGGTTTTGTATTAGAAATTTCTGCTATTTCCCCATGTTTTTGAGGAATTTGCTTTGTACTTGCAATTTGAGAGGTGTATGAAAGTTCTTCCTCCCTCCAAACCCATCTTTCACATTCACATGTTTGTTAACTCTGTAAAATCTGTATCTTGGATCATTATAGATATATCATCATAGCATTGAGTTCCAAGGAACTTTGAAGGTAATTTGTAGGAGGAGCATGTTAATGTGTAGATGATCACTTGCAAGCCATCTTGGCCTGACCTTGTTTTCTTGATCATAGTATGACTTATGGCTTGGACTTCCATCAGTCAGAACTTTACTGGTACCAATGCCAACAAAGTTTGTCGAACTGGGATTTACGTAGGGAATCCTGCAGTATATGAAAGCCCTAATACACTGATTTTTACAAAGTCCCAGGCAAACAAGATTTGATTTGAATTCAATAATAACAAGAATTTCGAAATAATGAAACAGGTACAACAATTTCAATGGAAATCGCCGGCTGGTCTGCAACAATTGCTTGTATGAACAACAGCAATGCGAAAAAAGTGCTAATTTATGTTCAATTTTACACCAGTTGTCTGAATTTCCAAACATTATTATAAGTGATGTACAATGACTCCACAAAAAGGGGAAGCAAAGAAAAAATAAGTAACTCCCAACTCGATTGAAGGAGGATTCTAGCGGCTACAGAGTGTTGATTCTTCAAGAATGCAGATTGCGTCAAAGTAATTCCATCTTCATGACCAATGGAATACATTTTTGCATTGATGAGGACCTGATCATCTAGGCCATGAGATTCTGAACTTTCCGGAGCTGGAGGTAGCTGGTTTTCTTCAGAAGTACTTTCGAGATTACCCCCATTATCTTTCGGTTGGTCATCAGTATCCTTCTTTTCATCATTTTCTTTGCTAGGGCTCCCACCAGTGCCGTCTTTTGGGATGCTCCGAACCAAATCCGGCTGAGCTTCTACTCCAACACGTCTCAGGTGCAGCTGCCATGACAGTCATCTCAATATATAATATAGTACTATCGTTATGAGATAAAGTCCTGCGTTCACATATACAAGTTATATACCTGAAGATGTAGGTTGACTTCATCTGGGCGGGAAAGAAATGGGAAATCACCTCCTGTTTTCAGATAACCTCGCCTTGCCCCCGGGTACCTCTCACTAAGCTGATCTTTGAGTTGTTGAGGAATTGCAGAGTAGTCGTTTGTCTTCAGGGTCGTGTATGAAACCATGTCAATAATGAGATATTAGCTAAAGCTTATCTTTCCCATTCAAGAATCAAAAACTAAAGGGAAAAACTTCATAATATGAATACAAATGCTGCAACAAGGAAATCATCATGTGCTTTAAAACATTTGTACAACCATGCAGCTAGGAAAATTTGGCATGCTAACCTGCAAATTAACTAAAAAGATCTAAACGCAAGAGAATTGAACAAAAAAATTTATTTAATACAATTACAAGATATATTACATTCATTCTAAACGAAAAGGTTTAACAGCATATGAAGACAGAGAAACCATCTTTCCTATTTCCTGTTGTCCAGCTTAGCAAGGAAAACTTGTTTAAAAAAGCATGAATACTTGAAATATGTTTGTGTACACACCCATGAAAAGTGAGTTGCAGACAACTTACATCCATTATAGTGATAAATGAATCTGAAAGTAGTAGAGGTTCAACTGAAGCAGTATCGACTGTCAAAGTCAACCTAGATGCCAAGTCATCTCTTGAGAGTGTTTCAACCTGAAATGATTGCCCAATATGGCCTCAGATAAAGAAAGCAATCTCTTTCTTACAACAGATTGTTTTACATTTGAAGCAGCAAGATGCGGAGTACATACTACTAGCTGAAAAAGCAATTACCTATATGGAAAATAAAAGGGGGCTTGTTCTCCTAGCCCATTAAAGAAATAAAGGAAGAGAGAGAGAGAGAGAGAACAATTTGACAAAAAAAGAACTGTTTAGAATTTCACCTAACATAAAGATGATGCATAATATGAGATCCACCTTAACTGACTACATTTCTAAATCGATAGAACCAAGTTAAAAACCTAGTAAAAGTGTACATGTATTACATTTAGGTTATAGAAAGATGAACTTTCCCTTGTCAGTATGACAAATTCTAACAAAGAAAAACGATGCAAATTAACTAAATAAATGGTTCAAGGGTCCAAAAGGCAGGAATTAAGACTATTTGACTATATATGATAATGCATGCATTGAGAGGATAACAAAATGCACTGTGCATTTGAAAACTGTGATAATGCAATATGTGACGCAAGGTTATTTCAAGATATCATATGAAGCCACAACAAGCAAATCATGTGTGCATCATACAAAATGATAATAACAAAAATCAAATAAAGAAAAATGGTCTGGGTGTTCCTAGAAACCTACCTGTGAAACAACGAAGTCCACAGAATCAGCAATAAAAGGTTCATGAGGGCCATCACGAATTCCTGTTAAGATGTATCGTTTCAACAAAAAAGACGGGGTCCAACCAACACTGCATGTGGCAAGTTAACAAGTTAATATCTTAAAAACACTTTCATATTTACATACACTAAGCAATAAAGATCATGTAAGGAGAAAAACTGAGAAATAATTACAGGAACTACATATATATATATATTATATAAATATAAATTTATCAAACTTAAATAGCCAAGAAACTATGTATAGCAATAAGTAAATTTATACCAAGAGAAAGACTAGTTTATGCAGAAATATATATGTGAAAGCAGAATGAATATACTTTTCCTTTCACCCAAGAAATGCATGTATACAAGCAACTGCAAGTGGCTAGTTTATAGGGAATTGACTCATTGCAAGGAAATTTGTTTTAACTCGATGCCACACTAAACTGCATGCATGAAGTCATTTGATTTCAAAATGCAGATGAATTGACAGCCCAATAAGAGGCAAATCTTACGCAAAGAATTAGTGATATACATAATCCAACAAATGAAGCAATTTATCCAGCCTAGAGTTGATTACAAGAAATGTGAAGACATACATAGGTGCCCAAGGCATTGCCGCTGCAAAACTGCGTGTCTCCAAAAATGTATTTGATAGAATTAAGGATTTAACTCGTCTTGGACGATGTTGAGCAAAAAGTTGAGCTAGGAAGCCTCCAAGGGCTGTACCATATAAATGTATCTGTAAAAGACATTTTACTCAACCTATTAAGCAAATGATAGAAATCAACATGAACTGCTGCTACCACAAACTTGACTGAGAACATAGTTCCAACATTAGAACCAGAAAATTAGGATAAGATTGCCATTTTAGAACTGTGCAATGAACTTAGCTAGAAATTAGTAGAGCAAAATATAGTTTCACTTTATGTAGACAATATATAATAAGAATGATTATTATGAAATATGCACTGAAAACGACAAATAGATGTTGTAGTAGGAAAGGAATGAAGGATAGGCCACAAATATCTTAAGCTCTCACATGGTGAACATCAACGGCATCCAAGAACTTTTCAAAACTTTGAATCCATTCCTGATGATTCCAAACACGGGGAATATCAACAGATATCACCCGGTAACCCTGAAAATTTGTGAAATTTAAATTATTAGACTTAACAAGAAGTGCAAATTCTTCACAATAGTCCAATTAACATTTGGTAATAAACCATGAAATAATTTGAATAAATCCATTACATGGAATAAGTATAATGTTTCCAACAACCAATAAATGAAATGAGGAACTCTCAGGCTGGCAGTGGTTAGAAGAAATTAGGAACTCTACTTAATAGAGAGATAGGATTCATAAATTTCTGGGAGCAAACTCTCTAACAACAAACAGAATCACAAAATGTCCAGTATGTCACAATACTAAAAGCAATAAGGGGACAAGAATATAGCCATACACCAGAACTCACAGCCTATGGAGGTTTCCTTCTATTTTCTTGTATTTTTGGAGAGATAAAACAGCCTTTTGTCAGCTCCCAGAGGACTTCTTCCAGGAACTAAAAGAAGCAAAAAAGGGAAAAAAAAACTATCTAGAACTTGTCAAAGATACTATAAACTATAGCTTACAACCTTCATGGACAAGGACATGATCTGTTTGTAGAAGACATCTGCTGTCCCTGCAGTTCCAGGAAGACATATGAGTGGAGGAACCACTTTGGGACCAAAATCATAATATCGCCACTGCTTTGTGCCAATCTGTGAAAGAAATAAGAAACTCCAAAAATGAGATTCATCACAACTGATAAAAAGTAATAGCAGAGACTCTCTCTGTGTCTCCCTTCATGACACAGGCATCCTCAGTGATAAAACAAAGTCAACTAGTGAATCCCGGCAGATAAGAATTCAATGATTAGCATAAGCCAAAACGAATCCTTCAGATTTCAAATTGAAATTCAATACCAAATTTATCCAAATGAGTAGAAATCTAAGCTCATACTTATCAATTATCACTAACTTACCAAAAGGGACATTCACCGTTGAAAGAAATTCACACTCAGCATAAATAATAAACTACAAGTAAAACATAGAATTAAGCAAATTCTGGGCACATCCAGAACAACATTTTTGCAATCCTGCGATCAGAATTCTCATCAAAACCCACATAATAATAGACCATGGCTAAAACAAAAACATACCCACGACCATAATATGGGTAAACCATAAAACCCATGATCAAAATTGTAGAAAAATTATGAAAAAGAAATAGAAAAGTGAATTTACATAAAATTAGTGATAGGAAAAAGGAAAACTTACAGGGATCTTGTGAAGAGGGACTTGGGACTTGAAGTGTATGTAATCTCCGGGCGCCGAGGAGACGCCTTTCATTGCTGAATCCACTCACCCTACGTTCATTCCAATATCAATCAACTAAATCGATCGACAAGCTCTCTGTTTTTATATATTTTTTTTCTCCCTTATTATTGTTTCAAACTTTCTACTATTAGTTGTTTTTTCCAATTATTACCTTTTTTATTTTTTGTTTCAATTTTAATTCGACGAGAAAAAGCGAGAACCCACGGCCACGTGGCCGGGCGTTCACACTCAATTGACACAAACGTTTCTCAACTGCTGGTCAGCGTTATCTCAAGGGGGTGCGCAAAATAACTTTGTGTTCCCTAACTGCGTATTTAGATACGCTGGCATCTTGCCTTAATCACTTGTTTTTATTTATCAACATAAGATAATGTTAAGAAAATGACCTCATCGCTATCCTTTTGTTAGGTTGAAAATTCAATATAATACTTAAGAATCAATTTGATGCAACTGGGTTGAATGAATTTTCAAAATAGAGTTTTATTTCATTTGCTTTATATTATAAAGCATAAGTAAATTTTTTTTATAGAACTATACAATTTCATTTTGTAAAAATTTAAAACTTTTATCATAAATTATAAAAAAAATCGATATATTACCAATCAAATTAGGTATACGAACATAAGAGTGTCAATAAGTTGAAAATTGATGAATTTTATTATATTCGTGATATGTTTATTTAATTAATAAATTTTAAAATATTATTTATGATTATTTGTTAAATTTAACAAACGAATACAAATTAAATATGTTAATAAATTATTTATCGATTATTTTATTTATATATTTATTAAATATAAATATAAATGAATTTTTTTATATTTGTAATATATTCATTTAATTAATAAATCTAAAACTATTATTAATGATTACGTAAATCGAATTGGATAACAAGCCTCCAAATTCATTCCCTGCATTTGAAGCTGCTGTTAAGTTGAAAACTGCAGTTTCTTCCTTTGGGGTTGTTAGGTCCAGGCTAGCATATGCTAATCATCATGCTTTTAGCTATGTGCCAAAAGTTGTTTGGGAGCAGGGAAGAGAAAGGATCGTTGAATCTGTAAGAAAATAAGGGTGTGATTAAGTTGGTTGAAACATATTTTTGTACAGTTCGTGGGAGAAGATTTTACACTAATGAGAAACTTGTTAATCATTTTAAGCAAATTCTTGAGCGTGAACATCAGAAGAGGCTGAATCAAATAGAGTCTGCTAGAGGAAGTAGGAGGGTTAAATTGGTAGCCAAGTATTCAATGAAAATGGAGAAGTATAAGAATGCAGCTAGGGATGTTTTGACACCGAAAGTTGGGTATGGTTTAGCTGATGAGTTGAAAAAAGGCAGGGTTATGGGTTGGGACTGTCTCAAATGGGCCACAAACCGCGGATGTTGCATTGAGGGATCACATTGTGGATGTAATGCATAAGAGATAAGCTGAATGTTTGGTGTTCGTGTCCGATGATTCGAATTTTGTGGATGTTTTGAAGGAGGCGAAGCTAAGGTGTTTGAAGACTGTTGCTGTGGGAGATACCAATGACGGGGCTTTGGAAAGAGTTGCAGATTCTGCGTTTTCTTGGACGGAAATATTGATGGGAAAGGCTAGGAAGGAGGCAGTTTCTGTTGTGGGGAAGTGGAAGGACCATGATATCTTGAAGAGATTGGAGTGGACGTATAATCCAGAGGTGGAGAGGAAGTTATATGGTTCTGAATTCTGATGATATGTTTGATGATGAGAGTGAGGATAAGGACCTTGATAGCACTGATGATGGAAATAATACTGATTGTATGCATAAGGAAGATTCTGGTGCATGGTGGGAGCTGGACTCTGATTCTGATGCCAATTCTTCCCGGTCGTAACAATAATATAGATGTTGTCATCGACTTTCTAACTCACAAAGTTCGCTCTCACCTATCCTCTCCTGGATTCAATTTTTGTCAAAAGTAACAGAGCTGAAGCACCGGATTTAGTCATTGACTTTGATTTGATATTATCTGCACTCTTATTCTGGAGCTATTTTCATTCCTTCAGATGTAGTTCAGATGATTCCTTTCTGTCATCTGCCTTGTATAGCTTGTAACTTGGTGAACATCTTAAAACTCGGATCTCTCCTGCAATCTGACCTTTATATAGTATTTATTCCTCTGATCTTATTTGACAATGAATCATGCCTGGAATCTTCAATAAGTTTATTCTGCCCTAGGGGCGCCTACTCTTCAGTTCTTGCCTTTGCCCTAGACAAGAGAAAGATGCCATACTGACTGCTGCAATCTGATGCCAAACTGCTTAAGGAAATGAATCTTGGAGTAAAACAAATAGATACTTGACTAAGCGTGGCATCATCTGTATTTTTTGTGGTTTAAAGTACATCAAATGCAAAAAATTATCTTGTTTTGTTCATATGTAATAAGGATGAAACGTGAAGAAACAGTAGTAGATAATATATCAGCAATAGTTACTAAATCCTCTTACCAATAGACAATATCATCTAAAAGCACATTGCAGCAGAAGCTAATTTATTGAAATAACTGCGAGATTGAGTAAAAGATGGCACAGCAATCAGAACATTTTCTTGATCTATCAGTCATGAACTTTACAATGCTTGAACTGCTAAAAAGAAACTTCCAAGAAGAAAAGGAAGCAATGTGGAAGAATAATTACGACGCTGCTAGTTTCCCATCACCACAAAATGGGTATAATGAATATTACAGTTGAAGAAAACAAACAAGGGTTCTAATTATATAACTTAGGTGGGTTAAGACAGGAGAGGGAGTTTTGGATTGAGAACTGAGGTGTGCTTTTAACACCTTTTCATCATGGTTTCTTGAGTAGTGACCGTTTTCCCTTTAATATAGTCAAGTCAAATTATGACACCAGTTGATGGAAGATCATACCTTCATAATTTTCGATTGTTGCAGCCGAAAAATGTTTTAGATCGTCAGCTCATATATAAAGTTGGTTACTGTATTCAAGCAAACAAGTAGACTTGTTCAAATGCTATCAATGTCAAAACACGGATTGGCTCATTCGAAATTCAAATGAATCCTAAATTTATAAAAGAAAAATGGGTAAGTGCAATTGCCATCTGATTGAAACTTGAAAGTTACATTTCATTGGACCAAATGAACTACTTGTATCCATTTCCATCTGATAAGTCCAACCTTGTTCTGCTCACTCCCAAAGCTGGTTTGAGCATAGAAGCAGCTAAATTGATCAACTGCTCCCTCAATATCATGCATTATTGTACAAAATCTAGTCTGAAAATTGTACTGTGAATTTGCCCTTTAAATGAAGCACATCAGAGGTGCTTTATGATGGAAATGAAAGGAAATAAATCTGGTTTCCAAGTTATATCTCAATATTCACGAACCAAAATTATGTAGTCCATCCGGCTGCTTCGAGCCTTCTACACCAACAAACAAAGGCACCCAATTGAACAGGCCTAAACTCCTCCTTCTTGGCAATAAGACCCAACTTTTGTTTTTTCGGCTAATATAAGAGTATAAGACACAACTTTTGTAAGATGCATTAAATCAGCCCACCCAAGTGCGTCAACGTGGGAGTGTGCACGTGAATTCCACTTGGGATCCACAACAACATGATTCCCGTGTGAACAAGGATGAGCCCCACTTAGAATCTTTAGTATCTTGATTTTCTAAAATAATCAGATTCTGACAATTTATTTCGGGGATTAAGCAATAATCACCAATATTAATTATTATTTACTAGTAGTAATGGTAATCAAGTGGCAATAACTTTACAATAATTTTTACATAGATGTCGGAAGTTGCATATTCTACATCTGGACTTAATTTTACAAAAGCTGAATTACACACGAAAATTTATATATTTATATAATATTTATATAAAAATTATATTTTATAATTTATATCGATATAAAAATATAATTTTTTTAATTTATTAAATTTATATATAATTATTATTAAAATTTAAAATTATATATTTTAATTTTTTATATTTTATTAATATTATATCATCGTATCATATTTTAATTTATTAGATTTAATTATTTCAAAGAGTTGCTACTATCTTCCTCATTCATGGATTGGTTTAAAACTGGTGGAATGAAATTAAGTTCTCATCAGCTCCTATCTATCTACTAAAAATACCCTGACGTTCTATGGTTGATTAAAGTGTTTGTATTATGTAGATTAAAAGGTGTTGTTTAAGGAAAATTTATTAGAAGTAAGATGAGAATCAAGTAATAATCATCTGTCATGTATGTTTATTGGTCTTTACTATCTTTAATGTGCTCTTAAATTTTTTATACAAAAATTTATAATTTGAAATTAAAACACACAAATTTAAAAATTTAAATCAAATATACGTTGAATTGAATATCATTTCTTAGTTAAAAATAATTATATAAATCAAATAAATTAAAACTCGTATTATATCTAAATCTGGCAAATAAACGATTTTGTTTCCTAATAATCAATGAAGCAAGACAAGAATCTAAAAATCTTCCTTGATCTAGTAATTTGGTAAGCATTTTCAATTGGGTGAAAATCTAAACCTAATTTGTTAATAGATGTTAATGTAAGCAATTAAGATTTAGGCTCTAATATAAAATATTCAGGTTTGAATTTTACGATCCTTTATTGATAAATGATTTGTAAATTAAAAAAATTAATAATTTTTTTAAGTCGACCGTTTATCTTAATTTTAGAGAGGAGTTACTCTCCTGCTCTTAATTTTTTTTTTGGATAAAAAAAATCTAAACCTAATTTGAGCTGTCAATTAGGAAAAACTTAATTTGATTATCTAAACCTAATTTTAGGAAAAAAATCGTATTACTTATAAACACTGGCAAATGATTTCCCAATTAATGGGAGAAAACTTTCTCTGATTATATTGTATCTGATAAAATTTCAGAAGTCACTCACATTTGTGAAACAGGAAATAGATATTTTATAAGCACAAAAAAAGGAAAAAAAAAAAGAAAGGAAATTCAAAACTCCTGTAACGTAAAGCCAGGTTTGCATCACATAAGCATTTATTTGTTTCCATATATATATAATTTGTAGCCTTCCCAACAGCCTTATCAACTGTCTTTCTCTTCACTTTCACTCGCAAAAAACAGTCATGGAATCAAAGCAATTCTTTCGCTTCCTCTTTTTCTTCATCGCCATAGCTTTCCTTCTCCTCTTCACCTGGATTCACCTTCCTTATGCGCCACCACCTGACGTCACCACCCTCCTCGACTGCGCCACTAACTCCCCCTGGTGCAACTCCAAGAATCGGTTTCAGTCCAAACAACCTACACTCACCAAAACGCCACGTGCCACCTCCTCTAACCGTCGACGCCACGAGTCAGCCGTCCCTCGCCACCCACTCGACCCTCTCACCATCCAAGAATTCAACAAGGTCCGCACCATCCTTTCTTCCCACGCGCTCTTCAAGTCCTCCAAAAACTACGCGCTCCATTCCGTCGTCTTAGAAGAACCCGACAAAGACCTCGTGCTTAAATGGGAAAAAGGCCAATCGCTCTTCCCCAGAATAGCCTCTGTCATCGCACGTGCCAACGGCGAGTCACTCGTGCTGACCGTCAACTTGGAAACCAACGAAGTCAACGTTCTCAAAACGGCTCCTCCGACCGGTTACCCGATGATGACGATAGAGGACATGACATCCGCTACTTGGGCTCCACTTTCGAACGCCAAGTTCAACAGTACGATCATCGAACGAGGCGTAAATCTCGATGACGTGGCGTGCCTGCCGATTTCGTTGGGATGGTTCGGTGCAAACGAGGAGAACAGGAGGTTAATTAAGGTACAGTGCTACTCCATGAAAGACACTGTAAACTTTTACATGAGGCCAATCGAAGGGTTAACTGTTTTACTCGATATGGACACAAAAGAAGTGATCGAGATATCGGATACGGGTCGGGCCATCCCGATACCAAAAGCCTCGAACACGGATTATCGTTACTCCGAGCAGAAGCTTCAGGAGGAACTCAACTTGATAAACCCTATATCAATTGAACAGCCAAAGGGCCCAAGTTTTGTTATTGAAGACGAACATTTGGTGAAATGGGCAAACTGGGAATTCCATTTGAAACCCGACCCAAGAGCAGGTGTGGTAATTTCTAGGGCTAAGGTCCGGGACCCGGATAGTGGGGTGCTGAGGAATGTGATGTACAAAGGTTTTACGTCTGAATTGTTTGTGCCTTACATGGACCCCACTGATGGATGGTATTTTAAGACATACATGGATGCGGGTGAATACGGGTTCGGGTTGCAAGCTATGCCACTTGACCCGCTTAATGATTGTCCAAGAAATGCATACTATATGGATGGTGTGTTTGCCGCCGGTGATGGTGTACCCTATGTCCGATCAAACATGATCTGCGTGTTTGAGAGCTACACCGGTGATATAGGGTGGCGGCATTCGGAGAGTCCAATTACGGGTATGGAGGTAAGAATATTTGAGTTCGAGTACTTATCAGTTCATAAAAACTATGTGCCTCTATAATTTAATGGTACTACTCCATCTATACAAATAGTACTTTTTATCTTTATCTTATGATTGTTTAGTGAGGTACTTGTTGAATTTTCCTTTTGTGCATATGAAAGAGAATACAAATCCTTTATTGCCATCTATCAATCAAGCAATATTAGCCGTGTTGAACCTGTTAGCATGCTGGTAGTGTTGCAATTTATTGAGTAGAAGTCGTTGTCATGATCAGCTTCACCTTTTCGTTTTGTGTCGTGTTATTGGCAGATTAAGGAAGTGAGGCCAAAGGTGACGTTAGTGGTTAGAATGGCTGCATCAGTTGCTAACTATGATTATATTGTGGATTGGGAGTTCCAAACAGACGGGCTAATCAGGATTAAGGTTAGTGCTCTTAATTTTTCTCGAAAGTCTTGTTTTTCAAGGAAGTGCATTAGGTAATTAGTCAATGCATTAGGTAATTAATCAATCATTTGTCTTCTTTGTCTGCACCTTTTGAGGAAGAAAAATCAAGGATGTAGTCACGGATATTTTCAGTCAAATGTGGATTCGATGTTTGACGAAGATATCTCATGAAATTTGTCGTTTATTTCGACTTTCCTTGCGAGCCATTTCGGCTGTTCTAATTTCAAAATTACTCACCACAGGTTGGACTTAGCGGGATTTTGATGGTGAAAGGTACCACCTATGAGAACATGAACCAAGTGGGAGGGCAAGAAAATCTCTTTGGCACCCTTTTGTCTGAAAATGTTGTTGGCGTTATCCATGATCATTACATTGCATTCTATTTGGATATGGACATCGATGGCTCTGATAATTCCTTTGTTAAAGTAAATATCAAAAGGCAAGATACCTCTCCAGGAGAATCACCAAGAAAAAGCTATCTGAAAGCGGTTAGAAATGTGGCTAAAACAGAGAAAGATGCTCAAGTTCAGCTTAAACTCTATGACCCATCGGAGTTCCACGTGATCAATCCAACTAAGAAGACAAGGGTTGGAAACCCGGTTGGATACAAGGTAGTTCCCGGTGGCACTGCCGCCAGCTTGCTAGATCATGAAGATCCACCACAGAAAAGAGGTGCATTCACAAATAACCAAATATGGGTCACTCCATATAACAAAAGCGAGCAATGGGCTGGTGGATTATTTGTTTACCAGAGCCAGGGTGAAGACACTCTTGCCGTTTGGTCTGACAGGTGAGACCGTGGATTTCGATTAAGAGTCGTTTTCCAAGTTCAAATTGATTTTACCATAGCTGGTATTCATTTCCATTAATTTCCGTGTGTTTTATTTTGCAGGGATCGATCAATTGAGAACAAAGACATTGTGCTGTGGTATACTTTAGGCTTCCATCACATACCATGCCAGGAGGATTTTCCTATCATGCCAACTGTGTCGTCTAGCTTTGATTTGAAGCCAGTTAACTTCTTTGAGAGCAACCCAATTCTCAGGATTCCACCTAATGTTGAAAAGGATTTACCTGTTTGCAAGCCTGCTGCTTCAGCATGAAGCTCTAGTTCGACGTTTATCTTGGGTAGGTAGAATTTCCAATAAATGATGTAGCAGAATATAAACTTGTTCTTTCTAAATGGTATCCAAAAAGAAGAAAATGGAAAAAACAAGATCGAGTCTTAGGACCTACAGAGGAAATCCAAGTTTCTGAACGGCCAGAGGTCTAAGCCGTAATCATCCAAGGGCTGTTTCTATTTACCAAGCAAGATTAATTAGATGTCACATTCTCTTAATCATTTTCCATAAACATCACTTAATTGCTGTATTGGATTTTAACAATGGCCACGTTATTCTGAAGGCTCCAATAATCTACGAAAGTTGGGAATTGTCACCATAATTTTTCATGATTGGGTTATTCATTTGGTTGGATAGCTTTTTGGACTAGTTACATAAATAAAGAAATAACAAAGTGAGATGGCTGCTTAAGTAATCCATATATGGCTATACCTCAAGATAATTGGAGAGCTTAAGCAATGTGAGAGCATGACAACGTCAGAAAAGTATGGAAATTGGAACGACTAGCTACTCAATGCTTATCGAGTCATTTAGTAAGTGACCTGATGTCAGAAACCATTAAGAAACCACAAGAAATTCGCAAATTCTTGCTAACCAATTGCTATCAAATTGAAATGGTTGAAATGGTTAAAGAAGCAATCATAAAAAGCCAAAATCCCAGTTGGTAACAAGCGCTCGATTGTTTCCTGTTTTGGAAGGCAAGCCCGTGGGGTATAAAAGTTTATATGCATTGCAAAAGAGGATAAATGATAGTACTTCATGGTGCAAAAACAGGGGATGAAAAGGATTTTTCCTGTTTTGAAGAAATTTTTACTTGTCCATGGCTGTAGAATTTGGATGATCTTAATCTAGAATCATAGAAGTTAAAACAATCAATAAAAAAGCACAACTGTTGAAAGCAAATAATTTATGGAAATCAAAACTACCGACAGAGTTGAGTGGATAATTATCATATATATTGCAGACAATATATTAAACTGCTGCAGGAAAGACATTTACAGCAGACCATTTCATAAGATTAGCACCTAATAACTGCTCTACGTTAGGTAGAGCTCCAATGGAGATAAACTATCAGCTGGATCAAACACATGTTACAAATAATTGAAATCCTTAGTCTAACTACAGATACAAGTTTATATTTCATAGAACTGATGTCTAAATCTGCTAAAGAGGCAATCTAGTATAAAAGAAATAAAATATTAGTATTTCATGTAGTCCTTTTTTCTCTTTTCTTTGTTATCCTTATCTCTCTAATCACCACTTTCCTTTTACTTCTAATAAGTAAACTAAATATTAAAGCAAATAAGGTCATCATCAACAACTAAAACACCATCCCGACTGAAAACCAATCATTTTCACTATCTTTATCATTGGAATCATCATTCTTTCTTTCTCCATTATTGATAAAATAAATAATTAAAACAATTTAGGAGAAAACAAAGCAAAATCCAGATAGGCATATAATCAAAATTTTCAATCTTTTTAAGTTTATCCACTATTTTTAAAATCCTAAAATAAAATCCAAATAACCAAAACCTTATAAAAACTCAAATAACTAAAACTTTAAAACAATTAACACTATACCCGCCCAAATAACCTTGTATCACCAAAAAAAAAAAAATCTTACTTTTTACCTTAAAAAGCCGCAATCAAAACAAAAAATAATAAATTATCAACGTCCTCCAAAAGAAGCAAAATATAGTAGAAAAAAATTAAAAAAAATGGGACAAGGTTTCTGGTTTGGCTTGTTTTAAAAGATTTTGAGATTCAAAAATTAGAAAAAAAGGAAGTCTAAGGGTAAAGGAGAAACAAACTAACGTGTGGTTTGGTTTGGAGCGACGAAGTGTATTTTTTGGATTTGAAATTATGGGATTAAATCTTTGATCTAAGCTTTTTAAGATTTTTTTATTTTTTGAAAAACTAATTAGGGAAGTGAAAAAGAGAAGGAAAAAAGGAATCTATTAGGTTGAGTGATTAAAAAAAACACTTATTAAAACATTAATTATTAAATTAAAAAATTTAATAGTTTGATAATTATTTTAAAAAGATCTATTAGGTAACTATTCGTGTATTTTATCCTACTTACTTTCAAATTTTTTGCATATAATCTCATTTTTAATGATGTTATCCACTCATTACTAGTTATTCATAGGTAAAAAAAAAGAGTGACTATGACAAATGAGACCGGTATTAATCCTTTTCGAATACGGCTGATTGGGTCGTATTTGATTCATTTGTGGAACACATCGTAAAAGCCTTTTACATGGTTTCGAAAAAAAAAGAGCTAGCACTAGCAGGCAGCTTCACCCAATTTCGATGTTACTCTTTGGGTTGGTTTGGCCGCCAAACCCCTTCGGATGTAGTAGGCTGTTCGTCCTCTTATAACAAATCATTATGTGTACCAATCGCATGTTTGAATTCCAAATTACTTTTATGTGCTTATGGACTGATTATTTATCAAGTTAATGGGTTTATGTCTATTTCTTATAAATTAAGACGGCATGCTGTAGCCATTAATTGTTTGGGTAAAATATATAAAAAGTCAATTAATTATATAAATTTTTAAAAAATAATTATCAAATTATTAATTTTTTTAATTTAATTACTAATATTTTAATAAGTGTAATTTTTTTATTATTAAACTGTTAATTTTTAATAAAATACTATTTATACATGTCTAATGTCAATTATACATGTCTATATCATAATAAATATGACATAATTAAAACTGACATATTATTAATAATAAAAATTAAATAAAATATGAAAAAAAAAAATTTTTCGTTTGACAATAAAATTTTTATTTTCTTTCTCTTTCTTTCATTATCCTTATCTATCTGCTCATTGCTTTTTCTTTACTTTTAACAAGTAAACTAAAGATTGAGGCAAATAAAATCATCATTAACAGTTAAAACATACGTACTAACTGAAAACCAATCATTGCCACCATCTTTACCGTTGGAAGCACCATTCTTTCCTTCTGTATTATTGATAAAATAAACAATTGAAACAATTTATGAGAAAACAAAACGGACAAAATTTTCAATCTTTTTAAAGTTATCTATTATTTTAAAATCCTAAAATAAAATCCAAATAACCAAAATTTTATAAAAATTAAGATAATCAAAACTTTAAAACAACTACCATTAGTCTCACCCAAATAACCATTTATCACCACAGAAAAATCTTATTTTTTACCTTAAAAAACTACAATCAGAACAAAAAAAAAAAAACAAAATATCAGTATTCTCCAAAGGAAGCAAAACAGAGTACTAAAAAACTGAAAAACAATGACAAAGTTGCTGGTTTAGCTTGTTTTAGAGGGCTTTGGGAGTCGAAAATTAGGAAAAAAGAAGTCAAAGATAGAGGAGAAACAAACTAAGGTGGGGTTTGGTTTGGAACGAGGAAGGTGTATTTTTTGGGTTTGAAATCATGGGACTAAATCTTAGATCTAAGCTTTTCAATAATTTTTTTTTTGAAAAATTAATTAGAGAAGTGAAAAAAGAAAGAAAAAAGAAATCAGGGAAAATAAATTTTGGAGCATTTTTGACGCTGACGAAAGGTTGTCATCACGGTGAATGTGGACCGAAAACTTGGTTTCTTGAGATTTTTTTATGATTGTGACCGTATTTTAGAAAGAGAAAATAAAGAGAAGGAAAAGAGAATGGGGAAGAGAGAAGAGAATAAGCAAAAAGTGAAAAAAAAAAAAAAAAACTTTTATATGCAGCTAGCTAATGTAGTATTTAACCATTGATATGACATGTCTAATAAATATTATGGTAAAGATTAAAAGTTGAGTGATAAAAAAGAAATACTATTCAATGTTAGTGATTAAATTAAAAAATTTAATAATTTAATGATCATTTTAAAAAATTTATATAATTAGGTGACTATTCATATATTTTAACCTAATTGCTTTCAAATTTTTTGCTTATGGTCTCATTTCTAATGATGTTATCCACTTGCAACAGATTAAGAAAATTACATTTAGTACTAATTTTTCATTGGTAAAATTGAGTGGCTATGACAAATGAGACAGAAATACTAAAACATGAAGGAAATGTTTCCAGGGATTAAGAGGATATATTGTCAAAGACTAAAACTATATATTCCTGCCCCTGAATAATCATAGAAGAATTTGGCCATGTTAATCTACATATTCTAGCCACCGCAACTATAATATTGTTGATCAGGCAGCGTATCCATAAATATTTGACCATGTACATATTCAAACACCATGTAAACAATAAACAATCAGTAATTGGATATTTAGTATCCATTTTTACTTTCATAAATATTTGACCATGCACATATCCCCCCAAAAAATGTTTAAGGACTACCTCTGCATTCCAGGGGCAAATTATCCAACCATGAATCATCCAACATAGGGGCAGAAGATTCCAATTCAGTGGGCCATTCTGAACTAACATCTATTTCATCAAAGATGATGGGTTCACATTTCCCATTCCTGCTTTGACAAATGGCCTGTAGCCAAAGATTGCAATGCACAAAAACCAAATCATTGAATTTCTCCAGCTCCACTTTGTTGCGTTTCTTTGTATGTATGCTCTCAAAGGTGCTCCGGTTCCATCTGCACCAATGAGAACTACAAGGTTGGCTCAATATCCTTATTGCCACTCTTTGTAGTGTGGGAATCTCATAACCGTAGCTTGCCCACCAATCACCTGCAAATACCACATACCAACTTAAGTGTAACTGATGCAATTTTCAGCACGCCGGAAAACATAAACCCCAATAAACCCTCCCAAGATATGAAAGGTGGGCATGAAACTGCCATTCTGACTGTCCCTAGAATGCAAAGAAATCCAAAATGAATGAGCGCCACCAAACCCAAATACGTATCCATAATCTAAAGCAGACTCAAATGAACTAGTTCAAAATCTTAGTCAAAGCAATCTTGTCCTTGTAATTTCAGTCTTTTCACTCTGGCCAAATAGATTATCATCAACCAGAAAAAGCACTAGCAGAGCACAGTGATTTAGCATACAGAATAATAGAGAAATATACTGGTTAGTGAAGTACATCCCTATTTTAGATATAGAGAACTTAAAAGCTATGGTCCCTCTTCCACCAGTGTAATATTGAACATAATATGAAAATGACTTTAGTGACAAAGGCAACTTTTCATACCTGGAGCATTCAGGGTCCGCCCCATGATAGCAAAATCAGTCCCTAGAGCACCTTGTGCATTTATGTACACGGGATGTTCCTTTGTGATTTCTATTTTATCTTTATCTGTTGTAGCCAACTTAAGCATTGCTTCTTGAAACCCATTCCTCATCCTTAAATCAATCTTAAAGTTTGGGTTATAGAAAATTGAAGGATTCAGGAATGCTGCTGCAGAATGTAATGGTGAGTGAAGTTGCATATTCCATCTCCGATCAATTATATCCCAGATTGGCATGTATTTTTCTTCAATACCCTTATAATATGCCCGGATTGCAACTTTTGCCCTCTCAATTCCTTCATATATATAGCCCATAGCCGGCATGTCACCATCAACAATCCGTAGGATCTTAACAAGTGGTTCAGACATACTAACGGCTTCATGTGCAGACTTCCAAAATCTTTCTAAATACAATAATGACTTAATAGCCTGAGCATCAGAACGTCTACTATAAATGGATGATGACCACTCTGAATGAGAGAACATGTGCTTCAAATTGTCTTCTTGAATCACAATGGACCTCAAGGTAAGATAATTAGCTACAAATCTTGTAATCCTGGGCCTCATTAATTCCCTTCCGCCAGTGAACTTCCTCATCATATTTAAAATCCATGCATGACTGTATATGTATTGCACAATGCTCTTTGCCTCCTCCAACACAGCGCCCACCCACTCTTGTTTACTAATGTCTTCCAACATCTTATCAATACAAAAAGAAGCACAAGGAGACCATAACAATGAACTGTACTTGGCCATGAGAAGCCTTCCTGCATAAACATAACTGGCTGCACTATCTGTTATCACCTGTATTACATTTTCCAAACCAACCTCCAAGACAACAGATTCAAGCAATTCAAATAAGTAGCTAGCATCATCCTCATGACCTGAGACATCAACTGACTTCAAAAAGTGTGTCCCTTTTGGACAAGTGACTGAAAATATAACAAACGATTTTGTCCTACCAACAGACCAGCTATCACACAAGACAGTGCAACCAGTTTCTTTCCACTCACCTCTATATTTCTTATAGCAATCATGTAAATTACCCTTCACTTTTTCTAAGAGGGTAGATCTCAACTTTTCATAACTTGGGGCTTTGTAACCAACATTGCACTCTGATATAGCATCCACCATTTCCTGATAATACATGGATTTAGCAGCGCTAAATGGAATAGAATTATGGAAGAAAAACACAGCAATTTTTTTGTCAGCATCATCCTGCTTTTGCTTTTGAGCATCATCAACTGCCACCTGATCACTAGGTGACGGATGCGGAAACAACAAAGATGGACGGGTGCTGCCATGCTGCCCACTAGATCCATGGTTAGGATGGAGACCACCACTAGCAGAGGAACTATTCTGTTGGCCATTTGCTACTGCCTTATCCACCTTTGGTTTCTTGGGAGTTTTTTGTCTCTTGGGAGTGTTTAATATACTTTGTATATGGTCTCGGACATCATCAGGGACTTCAGCACAAGGGATTATATCCTTGTTTTTTATTTGAGCTAGATGAAACTTCATCCTGTAAACCCCTCCACTGAATTCCCGGTGACAATAATTGCACCTTACCTTCTGTCTTGTTGCATCCACAAGAACACAATGCTCCCAGCAGGCATCTCTTCCACGAACCATAATCTTTAAAACAAATCAATTACTAAGAATTTTCCCTTTTACCATCAAAAGCACACAAAAGCTCAAAATGAATACATGGAATGTAATTCCTTAGTAACAGCAAAAGGTACAAAGGTTAAAGCACAGCAAGAGAAGAAACTTGGATTGACCCTCATTTGTAAATCATTGAGTTCTCATTGACCGGGTAGACTGAAACAAAAAGACAAGGTACTTGATCAATTACACTACCAAACCTACTTTGAAAATTGAATTTAATGTTAATGAGCAACCAATATGAATAAAGATAAAAGAAAATCCCTCAAGTTGTATAGGCACTGATCATCTAGAAACCTGTTTTGCTATTCAACAATGACCCAAATCAAGAGATTAACATATCAAAGCATTTTCAGTTGACAAGAAAAAGGCTGCAAGATTTATTACAATACCTGTGCTCCATTAACAAAATAGACCAAAAGATTGGCAAAGTTCTACATCTTTGAACAGAACCCTTTATTTTATGACAAACTTATTCATTATTTCAACATTTCCCTACTATGCTTGTGAACAGAAGCATCAGTGATTAAGCAGCATGATAAAATAATGGTAACAATCTAATATGCATATAAAAATTCTTATGCATCTTAGCATAACCTAATTTACTTCCATAGAATCTTAAAAATTTACAAACTAATCAGAGCCAGCAATGTAACTGATCATATATATTTTTCAAGAAAAGTAATCAGTCCATAGTGATGCAATCAACTCAGCTAATCACATTATGAACCATTACAACAATGTGCCTTCTTAATCATATTCCATTGCTTCTCCATAACCAGCATGCACTCATGAAATGAAATTGGACACAAGTTTGCAATTTTCTTTGAAATGTTAAAATGGGCATCTGAATCCTTCTCTTTTGCTTAATTTTGTTTCCTTTTTTATGGTAATTCCCAACATGTAGCTTTCAAGATAATAATATTTACAGTTGATTTTCCCCTAATCATGCAAGTAACAGTTTGCTGCCATTAAATTATCACCCATTTTCATTCTAACAAATAATTTTTCTAAAAAAGAAAGCTAAATATTTCTAAAAAAGAAAACTAAGTGACTAAATTTAAATACTCGATAAAATAAATAAGCTGAAATGAAAAATCAACAACTCCAAAAAAAAAAGAAAGAAATGATGTGAGAGAAAAGTTACCTGGATTTCGAAGGGATCTGAGGAAATTTGGAGTGGAAAGTAAAAAAATTAGGATTGGTAGGAATCCGGTGAAGCTTGGACCGGCGATTTGAAGGGATAAGGATGGAGGGAACAAGGAAATGAAGCAAGCTAGCGAGGAGTAGGCGTGGAAAACTGGAAATCGTCGACGCTTTCTCACGTGATCCCCACGTGACTCTCCTCTTAGTTATGACCTGTCCCTTAGCTTTTAGCTAGTGCTTAGTGTACCATGGCAATTTTGTTTCATTCTTTCTTCTAATTTTCCATTCACCATTTTAATATCTAGATTAAGCATGTATAACAATTGAACTTTTTTTAATAAAAAATAAATAGTTAAAATTTAATTCAATTGATTCATATAATTAATTTTAAAAATGATATCGAATAAATTTAAAAATTAAATTTCTAATTTTACCATCTTTTTTCTCATATTACGATTTTTTTTATATAAAAAAAAAAAAACTTAAGAGAGAAAATAATTTGCTTTTTGGAAGGGCTAAGAATATTTTTAAAGAGAGCTAGCTTATTTAAGGATACTTATAAATCAAGATCTATTTATGTGCTACATGGAGAAAAGGTCTAAATGTTTGTAATTATTAAACCATAAGATTTACAGAAACATAATGAACAACGCAATTAATGTTTGCAAAGGGCAAGGCATTAATGAAAACAATTTTGTGTGTTCAAGCACCATAGTTCAAATGGTGAAGATCATGTCACTTTGAATATGTGTATTAACAAAGCGTTTATAGAGAAGCAGAGGATTGTAACAAAATCAGAAGACAAAAGGCCAAAATTCAAGTTTCACACAAACTGCCTAACTGACAAGTGGTTCGCACTCTTTCTACGACTTGAAAAATTGTCCCTATCAAAGTCTACTAATCAGCTGATTTTGCTAGCTGCCTAACTCTGCGAGCACAGTCCGCAAAATTTTGAGCCAGAGAAGCACATTTAGTTAGGTCATTAGCATTCTCCTTGTAGCATGCCATCCAAGCATTATTCTCAACCAAACAAAGCATAGGTTTTGGGTCTGGAATCTTGAACTCCTTATCATGGAGATCCTTAGCTTTTTGTGTTACTTCCTGCACCATGTTCTCCTCCTGCTTCCGCAACTTTTCTACAACATTCTCACTCTCTTTAATAACAGAACGAATTGCATCTAACTCTGCACTTGCTGAGTAAGGAGGTTGGTTTACAGGCAGAAATAAGGGAGGCGGCACCGGCCATCCTGTGCCTGTGATCCCTTTCTGTCTTTCAGAATCATGAGATATTTGCTTCTGATCGACCTTAGTTTTTGGTTGTTGAGGCTCTCGTGGCACCCTGTTTTTGGTTTTCTTTGTTCTTTTCTTCAGCTTCTCATCATCTTCAGCAAGTCGGTTGACAAGGTTGGTGCTAATCTGGATTGAAAAATCGCCCATGTTGCAACCAACCCAAGACGAAATATCTGTAATATCAACAAAAAAACATGGAGTGGGAGTGGATTAGAAACAAAGCACACGTGTTCTCATGTTGCTACACTGCTATACTTTCCACAAGCAAGTTCTTCCATCAGGACACTAGCTTAAGCATCAGGCAAAACAAACAACTACTAAGTGCCTAATATAGCACAAAGAACACATATATAACTCAGCAAAAGACCAGAGAATATAGAAAGGGCAACATAAAAACTAAAACAAGCATCCAGGGTAATTGACTGAAAAAAGTTCATCAATCCTATAAAAAAAACCCGCAAAAACCAATCTTAAACACAGATGCTCGCAAACTAGAAGTCACAGCTTAGATACTAAAGAAAGGTTAACGCTGGAAATCTATTATAGTGACAGTATGGAGATTAGAGAGGCCATTGATAAGCGCCTTGTACAATTTTGAGACCAGGCAATGCAATATCCCTATGCTACTCCAATTCATCAACTGTTACAACTAATCAAACCCATAAATCACAAACAGATCACTTTCAGACTCAACAAAAACAACGAAACCTAAACCCGTTAATGAATTTATCATTCAAACTGGCAAAACAAAACCCATTTCAAAACCGATTCATTGAACCGATATAGTCTATGATCCACTCAAAATTCCAAACGAAAAGCGTGTAAAAATAAACGGTAGTAAATACAATAAGGAATCGTTAATTATTTTGAAACTAAGTCATTAATTCTTGCCTGGAACTCAATCTGCGCCCCAAAACCCAACAAAGGAAGGGGGTTCAGCAGTGTAGGATGGAAACAAAAACGGTGCAGTTTTGTTCCGAAAAGTGTGGGTTGTTGCCGGAGATGTGAAAGAAAAGAGATTGTAATCAAGGTTCCTGGTAAATCTTAAAGCGAAAGGTTTTTTCATCTTGGTTGGAGTGGGCTTTTCTTTTTCCCTTATTGAAACCGCCCATTTACTACCAATGGGTCCACATAAGCCTGAAATTGAGCTTTTATTCTGTCGAAGTAGAGGCCCAATATATTAAAACTCCATCCTTAACCTTTAATCCAATTAAAGCCCAATTTACGAAATATACCTTCAAAATTTGTGGGGATTAGGGAAATAATTGCCTCCTAACAGAATTTCATCAAGCCAATCCACCATGTCCGATCTTAGGTAAACCTTTTCTAACCTTTTATTTTTCTTCCAAAAGATAAAAGAAAAAAGGTTGTAAATGTTGAAATTTAAATTTTAAATCTATCAAAGATTACTTTTTAATAAAATTGTAAAAACCAATTAATTTAAATTTTAAATTTTTTTATTAAAAGTCACCCTAAAACCGACGTCTTCAAAGCTTTATATCTTTTACCTTTTAATTTTTTAATCTAACTCATATAGCACATTTGGAGAATCCGAAAGGCATTCTTATTTCTAAGAAAAAGCATCTGAAATCTCATCATCTAAGAACCAATTTAATGAATTATAGCTTGGGGATCTAGAAGGGCATTAATTGATCTTTTATATATCCAAATTTTCATTACCGAAAACCTTACTTTTGTGAGTTAAATTGACATTAAGCATTGAGAATGAGAATAATCCATTTGAGTAGGTGACCTCAGGGCTCACGCTTGCAATGCTTCTATTCAACCAGGGGATCAAGACCTATAAGAAAGTGAGTCATTACAAGCTCAACAATTTTCTTTTGACATTGTCTCAAATTGAAACATATGTCTTGATGCCGAGTTTGACAACATTCTACTACTAACTGCTTTATTGAGATGCGCCCATATTCTTCTCAGCATGCCCCATCGGCACACAGAAACAAAAGTTCTGCATAATTAGACCAAATCGAAGCCGTGGTGCACAAGAGCTTTTGCCTATGGATGGCATATGCTTATCATTGGAGACATAATGCGACACACATTTCCTGACATGTCTTAAAAATTGGATACTCTCCCTTCCTAGTGTTCAAACAAACACTTGAAAGCTGCAGCATCTAACACAAATGCTGTAATGTTTAAAGAACATGTTGAATTCAAAATTAACCACAAAATGCCCGAATGATTGCACATTCCACTTTGGGGTCACAGCTTTTTATCTTTGAGAGGTAAGGTCAGGTCACCAGATGAGTAATGAGGTTTGAGAATCTTGGTGTATGGTCTCCCCATTCTTCCTCACCTTTTTGCAGACTTGTCCATTTTTCCTTTTTAATTACTTCAGATCTTGTTAATTCTTTCAATGGACCATTTCTCCTTTTTCAATGGAAATACAAGTCATTTCATGTGGTTTCTGTTAAGTAATTCCTTACCGCATCATACAAGCAATTTTATAGTATATCATTGGTATTACTAATGTCACTTTTGCTTGGAATCCGAAGTTTAATTAGTTAGATCATGTAATATTTAATATGTTCGGATTTAAATCTCAATACTTATAATCTTTTTTTTTTATCATTAATATTGAAACATCATCCTTGATGGATAATGTTAACGAAACATCATATATATGAATTAATTGCAAATGCACTCAGCTAGCTTCTGTTCCTTGATGGATAATTTTAATGAAACATTATCCTTAACTTGCGTCCTAAGAAATGTCATGATTACAGAGCCTTTATATCATGATTGATTATGTGATTAACTCGATAGCAAATGCTTGCAAATCACACTCATAAATTTTTTATTATCTCACATAATATTGAAATATATATTATTTTAATTGTTTCTTGAGGATTTAATTATACTATAGATCAGTTCATCAGCAACTTCATTATCAACCTTTTAGTCTTGATGAATACTTCTGTTGAATTTAAGATCTATCTCAAGTCACAAATTAGTCAATATTCTCAATTGATTAGATTAACTTGTTGCTGGTCACTGCAAATCTTTTACATCAAGCTTATGGTAGCATGACATCTTGTGGACTTTGTTAATTCAATTATTTGTCATTGGTTTATAGAAATAAAGTTAAAATGTTTTATTTATAATTTATTGTTTTCCAAAAGGTTATGGCATCCATTCACTATCAAAGATAAAAAGAATGTTTATCTGTGATTTTGTCTGCACTCACTACAATCATGGTGAATTATTGATCTCAGCTAAACAATAAGATTATATAATTGTTGTACAATGTGACACAAGCATTACCCTGGGAACAAAAGAATTGTTAATTCTTGAAAATTTTGAAAAATGAAATTATCTCTGCTAAAGCAATATATAAAAAGACCAAATTAAGTTATTCGATTATCTGAAAAACATAAAGTCTTTAGCTTAAGAAAAATATTCGCGGTGTTAGGTTATAAAGTGATGAATTGAATAATAATTGCCTTTAGGAACATAGAATTAGAAGCACTAAGAAGCAAAGCTAATGGCAAAATATCAAGTTGAGAGGAACAGCATGATCAAAGTTATTGCTTGGAAGTGGCATTAAACTAGTTAGTGCTGACAGGCCGCAAACAGCCTGCTTAGAACATTTGTTTATTTTCCTGAAGCTTCCCAGGAATGATGACAAGGTGTAAAGTACATAAACAAAGAGAAACATTAATGGAGAGTCTGCTCAAATTATGGATGCCTGACCACATGTTGGCTGATCTTTGCACAATATATAGTGTGGCAATATCTTATTGCCAGAAGCAGATGGATGGAACAGTGGTCCTCTTGCTCCAAAAAGCATTTAATTTTTGAGTGATCTTGGCACTCTGATATTATTTTGAATGCGTTTAACAGTTAAATGTCAAGGGACATTACTATACTGCTGGTATAATAAACTAGAATGTGCTCTTTAGAAATTCTCTTCTTTTACTTTAAATGTTTTGCTTAATGATTTCTTTTTTTGTTCTTTTGAAAACTAAATGCTTTTGCCATCACAATTATAGGACTAAAGATCTGGATATACTATTTAATTTGGCCTCGAATCTTCTTCACTTTTGAGGAGACGATATCATCAGTTAAGCATGAGAAAGCAACAACATTTTACATCCGAACATTTAAATCAATGTGCTAGAAAAAAAAAAAAAAAGAAGAAAACACTAAAGTTTTCTTAAGAAACTTTAAATTACAACAAAGTAACTGTTTTCTTACCCTTATTTTCATATATAGATAGAAATATTAAATATATACAAGAGATTTCACATTCACAAAACCCACTAGCACTTTTATCATGCCCATTGTGTCCCTATTTTCTTTTTTTTTTTTTCCTTTTTTCTTTTGGCTGAATAATAATTGTTTCCCTGTGTCTTGTACAGAAGAAAGATTACAATATTTGCAAGGCACCATGAAATATCACATCTTGAGATGGTATCACGTTTGAATTGGTAGGTGAGAAACCTCTGACGAAGCGAGGTTTTACCTTCGACCTTCCAACAATATTCGGAAATACAGGAACATAAAATCAACTAGAACATCACCTTACTTTGAAGCTTTAAGTAATTTTGATTTTTTTTTTTACTCAGAACTTCAACTATGGTGCACATCATGCTACTGTTTTGTCGCCCATCTCTAACATGTTCATCGTGTTTAATTCAATGTCGTTTAGGCATTCGAATCCAAAGTCATGAATTCCAAAATCCTGACAGTCCAGCAACCATGCACAGTTGTCCTCCCAAGATGGCAAGCTTGTGCCATTGCAAGTTTCTCCTCCAGGTGTAGTACTGTTCCATGAAGCATCAACTAGGGGAGGTTCATCCATCCATAAGCTTGTTAATAAAGATTCATCGTTGCAAATGCTGTTTAACAAATTGGAGTCACGAGTACTAGAGCAATTCTCAATTGGTGTACTCGAATTAGCTTCTGATGAGTTGGGGATGCCATCATTTTCTGTAATATGATTATCTGCAGATTGATCAGCAGGGGAAGAACTTTCTTCAGCCTTAACTTCTTTGTTCAAGGGTTCATGAGTAACAGGATCAATTCCCATTTTAAGAAGCTTTTTCTTGATGTGGGTGTTCCAGTGATTCTTGATCTCATTATCAGTTCTACCTGGCAACTTGGCTGCAATTTTTGACCACCTGATAAAGAAAGAACAATAACAAATATATTAAGTTTAATCCTAAATATAAAAAAAATCAAAACCCATCAACAAAAGCTTCTAAAATAGTGTGTTTATTTTAAAACTTCGTTGCGAAGATGTCAGACAACTTGGATTTCAAGCAAGCAAGTGGCTGAAGCAACTCCATGAAACAATGTATTCTTTATTTGGTAGCTTCTGAATTGGATGATAGTGAACGATAAGGAATCAATAAGCTATAAAACAAGACTGGTATCCTTGTTTTAACTTCACAAAAACTTACAATCAAAACTAGTTGTAGTTCTCTGGGAAGACTTTTCTGCAAACTTCAAAAAAAATTATTAGAAGACTGTATGGTCCCCAAGAACTATTGGTTTAACTTAATTTCAAGATCATCGAACTATTGGTCTTAGCGCATTTTAAAAGGAGAACCTAAAATTGTTCTTGTTTTGCTAAGTATAAGCTGCCGTGTCGAAGAAATTACGTTTCAAAAAATGCCTAATATCAACCTCCATGACCCAAAACTAGAAAACGAGATGATTATTTGCAGGCGTCTGTCTCAGAAACAAAAGCAATTAAACTAATCTAATGATTATCACTTAAAACTGCTCCAAGCAATCACATAATGCAGGACAATGAATAACACAGAGAAGAGAGTCTAATTAACCTATTGCCAAGACGGGCATGAAGGTCAATAACCAGCTGTTCTTCAGACTCAGAAAGAAGGCCTCTCTTCAAGTCAGGCCGAAGATAATTAGTCCATCGAAGGCGGCAGCTCTTGCCGCAGCGGCGCAGGCCAGCGAGCTTAGGAACAGCACGCCAGCAACACTGGCCATTGGTGAGAATAAAACTGATGAGTTTCTTGTCTTCTTCAGCTGTCCATGGCCCTTTTTTCACACCCAGTTTGTCACAGCAGGGCTGCCTACCCATAACTTAATCCCACTAAACACAAATTATGACTAATAACAAGTAATTAGTCTCACCAATTCTCTACCTGTAAAGACCCAAAAGCCCCACACCCACCTTTATATAAAGTCCTTGGGCAGCTTTCAGACGCTGATACCAAGTAATTTATATTTATATGAAATTCAGAATTTTCAAAGAGATGAGAGGAGATTCCAGGGTCCACCATTGGTTTAAGAAAGCGATGTTGGAACTAAAATGGTGTGTTCTGGTGTGAGTAGACACACAAAAGAGTGAAAGAGGACAGTGGATGATGGGTGACCCAAAGACATGGCTACATCTAAGCATTCCAAAAGTTTTTCTTCTCATTTTCCTACACAACCCCACTCTACCTCATTGCACTCTTACTCAACCATTCCATCACCCATTTCGTCATCACCTCCTTTACGTGTAGTATAAATTTTTGCGGTGTTTCTATTTCCTAGAGTCATCAGTTTACTAATTAAGAGGTTATTAGCCTTGTGATCTTGGTTTTGAGCTTTATTAATGTGACTAAATGCAATCTTCCCCATTTTGTTAATCCTTTAATTATATATTCTTTAGGTCTGTTGAACGGTGGAAACTAAAACCTTTATGATTACTTCAAGAAGAACATGATCATTTTGATATTCTCACTCTTTTTTTCTTCATTTTCATAAAACTCATTCCTCATCAAATTAAGATGGGGGTGCGTTTTCTTTCGTGTTTTGTTAAGTAATAGTGTTCGAAATCCACAAGATTAGTTCCTTCCCCATCGTGATTATTTTTAGTAAATAGCATAGACAAAACTCATAAGACAAGAAATAGAGGTCTTGGTTCCAATATATCCACTTTCTCTAAAAACATTTGAACCATTAGACTAAAAAGTTGAAGACTCCGTCACATTGATTTAATTCATAATTAATAACTTGCTAATTCAACTTATTGATTAAATTCATAATTAATAACCTACTAATTCTACTTATCTTCTAAGTTTTGCATTGATTAGGCAAAAAAAATGATAAATTAACCCAATCCACATTAATAAATATATATAAGTTCATATTTTATGCATTGTTAATGTATAAACTTTATATATTATCAATAAATTAAATGATGTTATCTATTAATGAGCAAATATAAACTCTAAAATAAATATATAGAAAATTAATATATTTTTTAAAATTTATTTATTAATATGTTGATATTAATTGATTTATCTTATTAATAAGATTGTAATATTCAATTCATTAACAGTATATAAAATTTATATACATCAAATATAAACCCTATATATAATCATCTTTTTTTAGTAGAAACAATCTCACATTTTATAGTCAAGAATTAAACAATGATTTAATAAATAAAGGTTACACTTCCTTTATCGAGACATTTTTTTCGAAAGATAAAATCATGAAGACAAATTTTTTATTCTCAAAACAGATATAATCCAACAATTCTTACATCAACTATATCAATTCATCGCATGAACAATCTTCCTTTAAACATCAATACTACTCTGCCCTATAAGTTCATCGACTAATATAAGTTCTTATTAGCTAGCATGATCATTAACAAAAGAACTAATTATTTGAAGGGCTTCTCCACAATTCCAATATCTAACTAATTAATCACAAAGTTAACGCTATATAATCACATAATTACAACTCTTAATTGTACTTTAATTATAATTAATGACATTCATATAACATGATTGTCACAAATAAGAGTAAAATATTAGTTAAATTAGATACTATACTAGTTAGCAATTAATTGTCATTATCAATTTCAAAAACCTTAATTTCCACTAATCCTTAATCCTTATTCCTTATATTTTATTATGGTTCGGATTAATTCTTTTACTTTACCCATTGTCTGAGACAAGTCTTTGCCCATCTTAAAAAACAGAAGATATAAGTTAAAGGTATATAACTTTGAATAATAACTATGTTAACAATTATACCTACCATTTATATGATCTGAAAGACACGTATTATGTTTTCTAGATTGTTCCATTAGGTTAAATATTTCCTAGATTAGCTTATTGGATAAAGAACTAGATTCTTAGCCGTTGATTTGGATAACCCAGATTGGAGGGCTGAGTTTTATTTGAGATAATCCAAGATTTTCATTTTCTAAATCGGTTTTTATAAAAATGACCCTTTTGTTACACGTGTCCAGCCAAATAATCTCCCATGTCAAAGTTTACTTCAACACTGTATATGACCTTATGATGCATACACATTTTCTTGATGATGAAGATAGGCAATTTTTATACACATAATTTAATAAGGTGAGTGGATTGGGGGTAGTTAATTTTCAAATTTCTTGGTTATTTGACTTGTATTTCTTAACGTAGGTAGGTATGTGGACCCTTTTCCTCAATAGCTCAACATTGGACTTCATTATACGTATCTAAGCACAAAAACCCTAGTTTGTAATCCCATGTTCCTCCCTTAAACCTTTATCATATAAATTAATCAGTAAATCATGTAGTTATTAAATAGTGACTCGTACTGGCACCTAATTAGAGAACTTTGAGAATTTTTTCATTGAAAGATTTTGTGATGTAATTATAATTCTTTGTGTAAAAGATATATGTACATGTTTATTATTTTAAAGTCAAATGCTGGAGCGTTGTTGAAAAAAAAAATTAAAATATTAATAGTATTAAATTTAAACAGTTAATTTGATTATCATTGGATGGGATACAAATGTAAAATTCTTGTACAAAGATGTGCATTTTGCCAATAAGCTTTTAAAAATCAGGGGAAAATTATGGAATGACTTGTAAGGCACTCAGTCGATAAATCATTTTTTGCAATTTAATTTGTTCTTTGTATTAAACTGTAATATACTATTACGTATACATGCATCCATTTGACACATACATGCTTTCCCCAAAAGGAGAGGGAAAAAGTGATAGGAAACCAAACTTTTTGCTCAAACGTGCGTGGGAAATATGGCATGCAATGCAAAGGTCGTCGTCACCATTTCACCAACATATTTTGGAGTTTGCTCAGTTCAACCACGTAAAAGTTCTGGCATCTCAAGAATCCCCATCGACGCATGGAATATCGATAAACCCTAAAACAAGATATTTTTGTACGCGATAGAATAATTGAGCTTTGCATTTGCATTTGCATTTTTTTTAGGTATAAGAAATTATTAAAGAAAGGGGTGAAGCTGAATCATTAAATTTTTAGGTATAAAACAGGTGTGAATTTATACTCAGTGAGGTAAGGTAGCTAGGATACGGGGCATTGCTTGTAGAGTTGGGGGCTGTCTGGTTTAAGCTGAGCCACAACTGTAGCAGTTGCTTGTGAACATGCATGTTCACATTATTACAATAGTTCCTGCTTTCACAATGTTGATGACACATTCTCTCTGCTTTTTTTTTATGTACTTATTAATTATTTCTTCAATGCATGATGGTGAAGTTTCTCCTTTATTAAACTTGTTCCATTCACAGTTTTTCCACTAGCAATATTTAAGTGGGCGCATGAGCATCAAGATAATGAATATGAAAAAGAAAAAAGAAAAGACCATATGATTACATTTCACTAATTCTAATATATGAAAAGCTCCTTTATTGATGATTAAGTCAAATGATGAGTTCATGATAGATTCAATTAATGTATCATCACAATTTTGAAGTAAAATTTTCAACATCAAAATTGACAAATATACATAGTCTAGAATGATTTCATTATTCCAAATTTTACTTAATTTTGTAACTTTCAAATGACTTATTCAAACCCAATACGATCATCTTCTTTTCAAATTTTCTTGCAGTTATTTTTTTAATAAATAATCAAAAATTTAAATTAACCTAAAGTTACATGTGGCCTCAAATTATGTTGTTGAACATCAGAAGTATATGCCATCATTATGGCATGAATTCCATAAGGCACAGCTTAAAGCGACTAATGAACGACCAAATAATAGGAATTCAAAAACATTGTGATTACTATTCGCCAGAGAAAAGATAATGTTCAACACTTAAACTATTATTCTGATGAAGAGAAACAATAATTTAAGTTTAATAGACTTGTCTAATTACATAGGTTAGGGGTAATGCAGTCGTCATTAAGGAGGGAATTAAACAAATAAAAAATCTACAAGCAATAGGGGAAGACCGACCATCCACAAAGCTCCAAAGCAAAAACGATATCAATCTCAGCTCAACTTTATAGACAAATGAATAAGGGAATTGGTAAAAAATAATATAAGATGGGATTTCGATTAAGGGTCAGAGTCTAAATCTTTAGAAATTGAAACTCTTCCCACAATTAGTGGTGTAATGACAAGACATTCCAAAGAATTTCTTGATTGATCGAATGTATGGCTTCAACACTGTCCCTTTTTGTGTTAATCTAATGAATAATATGTCTAATAGAGATAGAGTTTGGTAGGGGGAAAATGGGGGATTTTGAAAAGTGTTGTTCGAAGTTATACTTTTGCTTACTTTTTTTAATTTTTTTTTATTTTTCTATATTGGTGTTGTAACTTTCTCCTACAATGAATGAATTTTGGTTTATAATCAAAGGGAGTGGCTGGTTATATTAACTGGTGGGTGAGCTTAGGTAGCTAAACCGTTGAGTATGATTGGATGGAAGCATGCAATGAATGAGTTATACCAATCTTTAAAGGCATTGCTTTCAAGGCAAAGATGATTGGTGACTGGAGGAATAGTAGCTCCTGATGGGGTTATGGGTGATGAGTCATTTTCCGTTTCTGGCTTTATTGAGAACGTGAACGTGAGTCAAATAAAAGTTTAAAGTTACTGAGTAACCTGTAGGTAGCAGTAACGATTTCGGTCAAGACTTGGCCTTTTTTGCGTGCTTGCCGACAATATTTATGTTAGAAAAAAAATAAATAAATAAGAGAAGATAAATAATAAAAAAGAATTTTGATTTTGAAGTGTGAAAAATATTTTCGTAAAGATAATTATACATTTAAGATATAATAAAGTCTTAAATTCTTCAATATATAAAATTAATTTTTGTATTAATTTTATTCTTCAATAATTAAATCTTTTTATCTAATGTGGGTTGCACCACATTTTCAACTATCAATAATCTCTTACTAATTTGAAATGTTGGTGCTTAATTTTTTACTTTTCATACAAATAAATATTATAAATATAAAAAAGTATCTCTCGATTTAAATATTTAATTAGCATATATATATTTTAAAATTCTAACGAAGTCGATGATGTCTGTAGATTAAACCTCAACTCTTAGTGTTAGAATTGAAGATATAACATATATAACACTTATTTATTCTTTTACCAAAGGTTTATAATCATTTTTAGTACTATTATGATTATGTGCTTATTCTTTTAATAAACATTTACAAGAGATACCTTAATTTTTCTTGTTGAAACGACACCACTTCTATATTTATGT